ACTAATGGTACACGTTTTTGTTTGCGATAGTAGGTTACTTTTGATTGAATCGATAGTTCAGCTAAGCAAGAGTCTGTGATACATTGAATTTGTTTTATAAAATGTAGTATTGAATATCTGGGTTCATACTTTTATTGGTATGATTATTTGTATAATTGCACCAATTTCAAGTTTTGCTAGACCTGCCTATTCCCGTGGTTTTCACTCTAGCTACTTGCATACATAAATTTATCAAATTAAATTAAGCATTAGTTTGTGGCAGCACCAAAAATATATATAAAGAACTGTCAACTACCTCAATTTATATTTAGTTGCTTTTATTCTTAATTTATCTTAAGTCTTCTATTATTTATTAAGACTTTTTCTCTTAATATTCGCAAAATAGATTGCTTTTCAACAAATTATTTATACCGCAGAATGGCCCAACTCAGGTTATTCAAACTAAAATTACTGTATCTCCTTAAGTTAACCTAATTATGCCAACATCAATAGACAATAATATAAGTCCTTGTATTTAATTTTAATTTTTTAAACTTATACATTCTTTTTTTGTTTTATTGAAACTTTAAGTCCTTTAAAAATATTTAATGCAATTTTATTTCTCTGTACAATTTTATTAATATTTCCCAGATTTCATTAAATTGACATTTCTTAATATTGTGAAGTCAATAAAATCAAGTGACCAAAAAATGTTTATATTCGCTCAACTAAATTCTATTAATAAAAAAAAGTACTACCATTTTTCCATTCATTTTATTCTATTCTCTTCTCTGCAACACTCAAGACGAGAATGCACTTCACGCACTAAAACGGCACAAACACTTCACAGAACGCACTTAACTCAAAGACACTTCCAAGTCAAATTTAATGTGTAAATGATGAAGAAGCAGTGTTGCCAACGAAGACAACATAAAAATAGGGAATGAAAAAAAAATTACATTGAAATAATGTATAAAAACTCCTGCGCCATAAAGTTATGATCTGTGAAAAGTGTCCTTTTATAGTTGTTGGACGCCAAGGATCTGTGAAAGTGTCTATTAAGATACGATGCTGCCAGCTCGAAAGCAATTGCACCAGCAATTGCAGTACTGCAAACAGTGAGGCATACACAGACACATACACAAACAATGCTGCCAAAGCCAGCCATAAAAAGGAACGAATAAAAAGGATTCTCTATGATGAGAAGAGCAAAAAAAAAAGAAATATGATAAATGGCAGACGGTGTACAGCTGCAATGAAAATACACCTGCAGTGGTGAAGATGTACAAATGCAACACAAACTAGGACTGCGGCTATGACTGTAACTGTGACTGCGACTGTGACTGTAACTGCTGGCAGGATATTTTCCAGCGTAAAATAAGTACAACGTACAACCACAGAAAGAAATGCGGCTCTGACTGTAAATTGTGCTTTTTAAGGATGTCAGTATGTCTACGTTGTTTGGAGGGCACTTAGTGAATGTGAATGCTGTATATTTGTCTATCTATTAGTCAGTTGATGGCCTGGTATGACTACATTATTTGTTCGTGAATTTCAGTTCCTATGGCAAGTGCAGTTTTTACCTACGTTCAAACAATTAGTGCGTACAGCATTTTTCTGCTTTTCATATGCCTCTTCAGTATTTGGTGACTTTTTCTATCTATTTTGGTTATTTAAAGACATTATTAATAAAAATTGATGTTAAAAGTTATATTTAAAATTTAAGGTAGTAGAGTTCGGACTTAAGTACTAAAGTTTATAAATAAATTGAATCAAAAAAAAATTAAGTAAAAATTTTTCCTGAATATTATTATTATCTCTAACAAAAATGGACTCTTTACGCATATGCTTTCAGGATTTTTTTGTTTTTCCTTTAATTTGGCTTGCAAATTGGCAGTATCTGTCGCATCGATCCTTCGCCTTCCTTACTGCGAAAAATTTCGTTTATTCCTTCCTCATTTTTAAATGTTTTTTTTTATTTACTTTCATTTACATTGATGTTTTTTTCGAATTACTTTCCTTTTTAGCTTTGGGGAAGTGTTGTTTGTTGGCTTTTTATTTGACAGCATATTGCCTTTGAAAATTTATGCGTTATCTAATTGAAAGGACTTTTGCTTGCTTGTGTTGATAAGAATGTACACAAACCATAACGCAAGCGAATTCCTGAAGGCAATACGCAACATAAAACAAATTGCTGGAGGTTGCCTTTTTCATTTTCACAGGGTTTTTCTTCAAACATTATTTTTAGCTGCTTTAAGCAAAAATAAACGAAATAATATAAACAAAAAAAAAAATCCTTACAAAAAAAAAGAAATTAAAATAATAAAATATAAGTAAAATTTTAAGAATTTATCATTAGTGATCAGTGAAGAATTTATTTAAAATTTTATTACAGAATATTTAAAGGAAAATTTTTATTACTTGGAAGTACTTTAAACTTAAACAAAAATTGAAATTTATTTAAATCATAGAATAAATAAGAATTTTTATCAATTTTCTAAGTAGTACTTAAGGTCTCATAACATTTACTTGTAGTGTAAACACAATGCAATGCAATTAAAATTTTTTTTTACATACAAAATAAATTAAATTCTGGAAATTGAATTGAATATCTCATAAGAATGACTTATAATGTAAATATAATGCAATGCAATTAAAATTGGTTTTACATAGAAAATAAAAGAAAATTCTCAAATCTGGAATTAATGTCTTGCAACAATTAACTATAGTGTAAACACAATACAATGCAATTAAAATTTTTTTTTACTTAAAAAAGAAATTTAATTCCTAAAAATTGAATTTAATATTTCATAAGTATGACTTATAGTGTAAATATATTGCAATGTACTTAAAATTGGTTTTACATGGAATATAAAATGAATTCCTCAAAGAAAGAGTTAAGTTCTAATAACAATTATATATAGTATAAACACAATGCAATGCAATTAAAGTCTTTTTTTACATAAAAAATAAATTAAATTCCTAGAAATTGAGTTTATATATTATTTGTATGCACTTAAAATTGATTTTACATAGAACATAAAATGAGTTCCTCCAAGCAGGACTTAAGTTCTTACAATAACTACCTATAGTGTAAACACAAAGCAATGCAATAAAAAATTTGTACTTAAAAAAGAAATTTAATTCCTAAAAATTGAATTTAATATTTCTTATATATAAGTATGACTTATAGTGTAAATATAATGCAATGCACTTTAAATTCCTTTTATATAGAACATAAAATGAATTTCTTAAAACAGGACTTAAGTTCTTACAATAACTACCCATAGTGTAAACACAATGCAATGCAATTATCATTATTTAAAATGCATTACTGAATAATGACCAACTTCTTTAATGACCAATCACTGTCTGATAAGGCTTTCTGTAATTCTTAATTCTCTCTTTAATATATATAATATTTAATATCATACTCATGCAATAAATTCCTAAGCATTGCAAATGAAGCATAATTTTTCACTAAATTTATTTAAAGTGAATGAATCCTACTTCTTTGTATCCTTTTTCTTCCATAATCATAAACAAATTTTACGATTATAATCAAGACATTTTCGATTATACCAATATAAGAAAATATCTAACATAGAAAGATATTTTTTATACTTCAGCGTGAGTATTCAACGCACTTTATTTCCATGTGAATTACTTTCAATTAGCATAAAAATATCCTTTTATGTTCTGTTGTTGTTGTAGTTGTAATTGTTATTGGTATTAGTATTGCTGGACTTTCATAGATCCTCCGTATTCCCATTGCGACTATAAATGCGTACATTCTGAAAGTTACAGCACTGAGCAAGGACATGACATTTGTATGTTGTAATTTTAGTTGTTATCCTGATTGTTTCCTTTGTACTCCATTGTGTCAGTGGAGCTGCTAAATTGGTTACCCAACTCGTTGATATTCGACAAATCGTTCAACGTGTCTATCAAAGTTTTTTATGTAAGTATTTCTAGTGAACTCAGTTTTGGGACGAATATAATAGGACAATGAGACACGCTAAAATGTGTGAAAATTATTAATGTTTTTATAAGTTTTAAGGAAGTTTAATAATTTAATATTTTGTAATATAAATATTTCAAATGAAAGTTATTATAACCAAAGACAAGTTGTTATTATTATTATTTAATAATAGAAGGGTAAATATGTAGAATTTAGTTTCTTTTTAATTCGATTCTTGTGTGGACCGTAAAACTCTTTCAGATATGGCCAATTAGCCATCATCAGTGACGCTTGAAAGCATTATGAGTTAAAATATTTAGCTTAAAACATTCAAAATAAAATGTCAATTCTTGTCTATTTTATCGATTAATTATAATAATTATTATAATTATTCAGAAACTACAAGTTGCTCACAGTTAGGCTCTCCGAAAACATTTCAAAGTGACATGGTTCATCCGCGCGAATGAAATGCTATTGGAACTTAGAATAGATCCGGTCAAAAAATACATAAGGGATAGAGCCCTGAAGCTCTATTTGAAAACCGACAGACTGCCATACTTAACACTATCGAATGTCAGAGTAATCACTAACCGCAAGAAGCGGTACGCAGATCTTAGATTAGTCATTGAATAATCACGAAACTAATGAACACACAAATTAATCAGTGAGATGGGTGGAACTCTGCAGAAACCACCCAGATATCAAAGAATAAAAGTGCCCAGATGTATATAGTAAAGTAAAGTAAATAGACTACATTAAATCGACTTTTAACGTCCGATTTAACGACAGATACTGATTTTTAGTAAATACTAAATTGAAGTTCTTATCGAACGGTTCACTACCTATAACGCTTCTTATATCCACAAAGAGTATTATTTACTAAGAATATATCATTTTATTAATGTGATGATATAAAAATTAAAATTTTGTTAAGTTAAAATTTTATTAAATTAAGTTAAAATTTTATTTTAAAGTCTAATTTATATTAGTTGAAGTAATTAAGTAATCATTAATATACATAAAATACTAATATTGTTTATAATTTTTTGTATATTTGCAGCCACCAACAGTCGCCCCCAAAGTACTTCACAAACGTCATCACTGACAGGACCACAACCACGATTCTTATCCCGAGGTCATACATATCGAGCTGTGGTGGGTGATACATTGGTTCTACCCTGCCAAGTTGAAAACCTTGGTAAGTTTTTATTAAAACAAAAAAAAATTTATTTCAAATATATAAAATATTTGTAAATTACAACTCATATAACATACATACATATATATATATATATATATATTATACATATTATATATATATATATATATATATATATATATATATATATATATATGTATATAGTAGCTACTAAAAAGGTCATATTAAAATTTTAAAAAAATAAATTTTAAAAGCTGCTGTTCATAAAATATTTAAAAAACATAATAATGCTCATTACATTAAATGATTATGTTTAAGAAAATTAAAAAACAAAATTAGCAATCATTTTGAACGTATATTACAACAACCAAAGATATATCACAACATTAACGATAATAATTCATCTGATGTCAATGAAACGAGTAATTAATTAAAATGACTTTAAAACAAGGCGCAACCAGAGTTCCTCCCACCACTGGAACCACAATTCCAACGACCAGCGCCTGAACCAGCTGCACTTTCATTTAAAATGTGAAATGACATTGCATGTGAATGACGTTCGTAGGTGTAATGCCAATATAAAACAATTTATATAATTTATATATACATCCGCTTCTCTCATTTTTCTCATCCTTTTGAAATGGATTTTAATTTATTAAATTGTCATTTTTAATGCCATGTTTAATTATGCTAAAACGAGGAATGTAAGAACATAATTAATTAAAAATTTACTAATAAAGACACATTCGATAGCAAATATTGATTGAGTTGTACGATTTAGGTATAATATGCCAATTAGCAAAGAATTACTAATCAACAAGCTTAGCATTTGTAAAAGACATAAGTGAAATTGATATTATGATATGCTAATCATAACGTCCATCACGAAGATATTTGTCAAGTGAAAATATGTACAGTCAAATTATAGCAGACAATAGTCTCTTGCACGAAAGAAACTTAATAGTTTTCAGAAGGTTTTAAGTAGCAATTTCTTTCATTAGTCCAACTTACCTGCACTTAGTTTCATTTTAAATTTCATTTGTGATACGAGTATGTTATATGATATCACACTTGTCACTATTGCATTATACAGATAAAAACAGCAAACTGGCAATAAGTCGTTCTCGTTTGCAATACAGAGAGAGGTAGTGCCTTTATTAATGTATGCAAAGAGTACACATAACGCTATAAAGCAAAGACTTTAATAAAAACCATTCGCCAGTATAATAAAGTTTTTAGAATTGTTGCAGCAGTTAGTATTATTGCATTTTATACCGTTCTGTAATATATCTGCAGCATACTGGCACTTACTGTGCATACACTCCTATGGACACACTTGTCTAAGCTAGTAAATGATACGTAACTTTATACAGCCAACATAATGTCAACATTCAACATGTCATGTGACATGAGGCGTACTAATAGTGCTTCTAGTAAAATGGAAATAAAAACTAAAAAAAAATTTACTACTGTTGCTACTTCAGCTGTTGCTACAAATACACTAAATGCAGTTGAGACTTAACACAACAGCAGCAGCAACAGCAGCAGTAACAGCAGTAGCAGCAACAGCAGTAGCAGTTACAACAATAGCAATAGTAATGGTGCACTTTTAATGGCGGCTAAATAGTCTTCACCATGTTTGCGCTCTATTATCCTTTCCATTTGCTATTCCAACAGTTTGCAGCGTATTAAATTTCATTTCTTCCTACATTCTACATTCGCTCTGACATGCCTTACTTTATTCTATTTATTTGCATGTCTTTTCTTTATTTTACTCTATTCTTTTTTTTTGTTTTTCTACTAAAATTGTGTTCTTGTGCTGCCCTGGTTGGCTGACCACACTCTTGCTGCACATAAATTTATCAAACTGAGATTCAGTTGCAGTTTCTGACATAAAAATGCATTTTCGTCCTTTTATAGAGCTGTCCATCATAATGCCTTTTTAAGTTGATAATAATGGAATAATGCTTTATTATTATGAATTACGATTTCTTCGAAAAATATTCAATGTGAAAGACTATAGTGTTGCACGTCATATGGACCCCACGTGGCGTATGAGTGACATTTTTTGCAAACATGTTAAACAAACTAATGGCCAAACGACACGTATCTCTAATAATAATATTACTTCTTGTCAACATATATACAGAGTAAACATATGTATATATGCTAGTTAGATGATGTAGATAAATATTTGGCTTGTCAAAAAATTTGTTTTAGCGATTCTTCACAATTACGTGGTCATGTAATTTTTTTTGTTGTTAGTAATATGTTCTTCATGGAGTTCTGCACTTGAAATGGATTATTCAAAAATAATACAAAGCCACAGTAGTGAGGTTGATTTGCAATGATAACTTTGAAATAAATTTATTAAAAACATTAAGTTTGCTCAATTGAGTTTATATCCTGAGTCAACATAAAAATATGGATGGAAAGTCCAGCAGAAATAGAACTAATAACAATGCAAAGTAGATATTAAAATTTTGAATAAAAATAAAATTATAAATGATGTACTATTTAACAATATCTGAGAAAAATAATAGCAACAGTCATGTTAGGTTTGGTTAGGTTCGGAAGGCGTATGGAAATGCTGACAATTGTCAACACTTCCACTCGTTGGCATATATTGCCCATTGTGATACCCTCAAAACATTTTGCCGGGAGAGACGAGTTGTTAACTTTTGTTATCCTTATTAAACCCTTTGGTTTTTCAGATGAAATTGAGAAGATCCGATAAGTTTGCTTTCTTTATCTCTTCCAAACCAGTGAAAAAACGATATCGAAGACTTTGAAGTCGCCGTGTCTGAAGTCTTGGACATAGGCACCATAAGTAGTTGATAGATTCTACCTCCTCTTCATCTTGACAACTCCTGTATATTCCACTTGTTGGTACTCGCCACAGTTGGAGCATAGGCGCAATGGCACAGTGCCCCGTTAGTACTCCAGTAACCACACGAATTGCAAATTTGCTGAAGCCTAACAGTCATGTTAGTGTGCTAAACAATGATTTGATGAAATCAATTTAAAGGAAATACCTAGAAATCAATTTATACAATCAGTTGTGAATACTGAGTTAAAACCACGATTCACTATACTTTAGAAAAGAAGTATTTTCACTACTGAAAGAATGTTTTCAGGCAAATATGCGTATATCGTTTTACTACGATTTTATATTGAATAATTAGTTAATTGCTTCTTATTGCATTATAAAGCCATACAATTAAATTTTCTTTCTGTTCACAATAATATGTGTAAACTAACGAAATGAGCACGCAAAAGTAATAAAATTTAAATAACAGAAATTTAATTACAAAATAAAACCGACGGAAACATTTGATGTTTCATTGCTTGTTTCTGTTGTTTCAGGGAAAAATAATTGCAATTAAATACAAAACAAGATTAACGTTTAATGTATCCGACGACAAACAACTATTAAAGATTATATATGAGCAATGGAAGGAAGCAATGGAAAAATTTGCACTAGAAAGAGTAAAGAAAATTCATCATAAAAACTCAATGAAATTTAATACTGTGGACATGTGGAGATAAAATTTTATTGGAGCAAATAAACTATTTGGTTTTAATAGTTGTAGAATATTTCTTTTATGTACAAGTTACTCCATGTTCTACGATTCGAACTTTTGTGGTTTTCGTGTGATTTAGTAGTGAATAAAAGGCTTGAAAGATGTTGAACCTCTTATGTGTTTTCGAATGTTTATATAAAATTGGATAGAAATCGTTTAAGAACTTCATGCACTTATACATACTCGTACATCGAATTAATTTTTTTCTAAATGCTTTACTGCAATTCATTAAAAACGTGTCACTCTTCTTTGAATTTATAATCCCCCAATCTTCATGGTGGTTTTTCCCGCTGGTAATACTTAGAAACAAGTTGTACTATATGTGAGACTCTTTCAAGCCTGCCAAGCAATTCTAATTGAATTGATTTTTTTCCTGGACGCATTGCTAAAATTCACTAAAAACGTGTCACTCTTCTTTGAGTTTATAATCCCCCAATCTTTATGGTGGTTTTTCCCGCTGGGTATACTTAGAAACAAGTTGGACTATGTGAGGCTCTTACAAGCCAGCCAATCAATTCTAAGCTTAAACCTTTTCAAGATTAATACAGTAATTGGTGTCCATGCAGTTATAGGATCGGCCATTAAAAAAAAGTGCTTTTATAATACGTCACCACGCTCTGTCAAGACCAAAGGATTGAGAAGGAAGGATAGGACCGGCAATAATGTTCGGTTTAGAAAACCATCTTATCAGAAAAATTTCTGTTTATAAAAACTGAAGAATACGAGGCAACCATATTCCTTTGTCAAAAGATTCCACCCTTTCTAAATGCTAGTTCAACATTTTTATTGAAATATTACCGTACAAAATTCATTGGACTACGTGTCCTCCCCTTTAAGAAGTGTAGAGACTTAAAACTTGGTTTGTAATATATATGTATATATTAATAACAAATTCATGGAATATTTATAATAATCCCTAAAAGATACATACAGAATTCTGTCTGTAATTTTAATCATTGTATTGTGCGACATAAAAAATATGTAAATATACTAAATTTGAGATGAAAACATAAATTTAATTTATTAGTAATTTTTTTATGTCCTAATTATTAAATCCGAATAATTTTTTAGCAAAATGTTTATACCAAAAATAATCCCATCATCCCATCTAACATGATTTTGTGAAAAATTTAATAACTTCGAAACTGTGAGTAAAAAATTCTCACAAACTTCCAAATATAAGTAAGAGTAAACATATTAAGATTTAATGTAAAAAAAAAAATCCTTTAAGTAAATCCTACAAAATCAGCTTTGTAGTAAAAATAGCAAAAAGCTATGAAACATTATAACGAACATAAAAACCTCAAAGTTCATAAAAGGCAAGTTAAATAAATTTATATCGAATTATACTTTCGCGTGATTGAGCCAGAAATTTTAAATTAAATTTTTATGGCTTTATTAGATTTGAGGCTCACATTAAAAGGAAACACAACAGCAGACATATTGAATACGGAGGCTAAAGGCAAGACGGCATAAAGACGAACCATTGGAAGACAAGACTGTTTAAGTACACAGAAAAGCACACACACACATACCATCGAACACATGAATGAAACATGTGGCATCCTCATTTTGCCTGCATAAAACACATACGCATAATTATGCATTGGCAGTAAACAATAAGGATATTTATGCTTTTATGGCTAATAGAGATGAATTTCAGTTTATGCTGTAAATCCAAGAAACCAAAACCAAAACAAAAATGAAGCATCCTGAATCCTGTAGGAGTGAAGTAATATTTTTGTTAAGCAAAATATATATTTTAGTATAAAAGCTCCCAAAAATAAAAAGACAATAAAATAAAAATTTATTTTTATGTTCATAAACATTCAATAATAATCGAAAGCAATAAAAACATGAGTGTCTATGCTTAGTTTCCTGTTTCCGGTAATACTCGTATGTGTAAAAGCGTAAGACCGTAAGTGTGCCCATTGTCTGTACAGTACGCATAACAGTACCGCGTGCGTAGGTCACGTATACTGAAGTAATATAGGCAGTTTCTATTGCTGTTGTTGTTGTTGTTGTTGTTGTTGTTGTTGTTGTTGTTGTTGTTGTTGTTGTTGTTGTTGATATTGCCTTCATTTTGTTTTATGCTCATTCATGCATAAAATTTTCTGTTTCCTTTTTATAAGTTTGCCATTTAAGTACCTACCAAAATTCTTTCTCTGTTGACTCAGTTTGTGTACTTCCGTTTCCCTTATTTCTGGGATATTTATTTATTTTATTAACCTAAGGGAAATGTTATGAAATTTAATGCTTTACTGCTATTAATACGCGCATATTTTTTTAAAAGGCTTACTTCGCTGAGGTTTTATTGATTTCTTATATGGCCATATGTTCTCTTTCGTACTGTCTACCAAATTGTAGGGATTTTACTGAAATTTATTAATTTTTTGTTTCAATTTAAATGGCGCATAATTTTATGTTGCAAATTAAATGTAAAATTATAATAGAGAAAAAGAACACAACAGAATTAAATGCATAAAGGACACATATATTTAATTAATTATAATTAAGAGCAGAAAACTATTAAATATTGATGATAGAAATTACAATAATAACACATGAATTATTATATCATAATAACATGTGGTTATGAACTAAAATGGGCTTAAAGCCATTCTGGATATAAGTTTAAGAAAATATATTTTAGTTAATCAATTACTCTATTACTCTAAGCTTTTGTAACAAACTAAAAATAAGATCTGAATTAAGAATATTTATTCATATAAATTTATCTAACACAATCGGACAACAGGCCTTAATGTATATTTAGAATCGTCTAACTTATAAATACAGCAGAAGTCAAGTTTGTAATCAAAGAACATTTACAGTTTACTAGATGTCATGATTTGACTTACGATGTTTGAGGAACTACCCAGTATTGGAATACAGAGTGTTGAAAAAATTTAATCGGAATAGCAAATATTATCAAAATAACATTCTATTGACTAAGTACCCTAATCGTGCTGAATTCAGCATTTAAATCTGCTTTTATGTTATTATATATCTCTAAATAGCTAGAACTTCTTCACAATCATTCAGTAACTAAATTGTTCATTAATTATAAAGTAATTAACCCATATACGCCCAAGAATTTTCTTTTTGAATTTTTTTGGTCAAAATGTTTTTTTTAAAGTAAGAGTAAGAGGCTGTGGGGTGTGGAGTGAAGTCACAAATATTTTTGTAAAGCTAAAGCTGAAAGCAAAAATTGTTTATGTAATTTAAACTAAGTACAATTGCAGTAGAGATTAAATTAAGTATCAGATAGTATAAACATTTTTTTGCAATGCATTTTTCACTTCAAGGCAAATTCTAGTTTTCTTTTTAGCAACGATATATATTTTAAAAATACTGCAGTGGTTAGAAAACTATTAATACTTAAACATTGCCAGTTTTACAGAAAGAACTGCTTAACCTCTCCCTATTACCATTTCTAAAACTATTTCCGGAATGGTACTATTACCATCTATGACAGAACTATAGTTAATTTATAGAGAACTATAAGAAGTGTTCACTATACTTCAGTCACTCCATGCTCAGGCAACTCTATTTAAAAAGTCAAAATGTATTTGAAAAATATATATTTTAATAAATATATATGTAACAGGGTATCATCACTATAATCATGACAGATAGCAATAGTGACAGAATAGAAGCCAAGCAGTTGTTGGCAGTTGGTGGAGGGAGTCGGTCGTCTGTGGTCGGTCGGAGAGTGTATTGCGTTAACCAGTGAACATTTAATCAACAATAATCACTAAGCATTTAATAAACAATATATAGAACTAAATAATAAGCGTATTATTATTATTTCTTACGTATATATACCATATTTTAGAAATTATATGAAAAATAACTTTTAATCTATTGCATTATTTCAAATAATCTTTCAGAGTTATTCCCTTATTTTTTCCTACTTTATTTCCTATTTTATTAAAATTTTATTTCAAGCTTTCTTTCATTTCATTTTTTATCTTTACTCGAGTATTTTATAAATGCTGATTTTTATGTATTTATTTGGAATATACACGTGCGCGCTATTTATAAACAAAACCCACGTAAATTGTCTATCAAGCTTACAAACCTAATCTAACGAAAATATAAGGATGTCAAAAATCTTCCCATAATCTGTCATATTGCAATTTATGCATAGCTTGACTTTAATCTCTTAATAAAAATAACATTAACAGCCTAACTTAAGTGTCGGAAGACATTTGCTTTGGCGGGATTTCAAGTGAAACGGCAAGAGTATGAATATCAAATAAAAGCTGTACACGCACTTTCAATAAAATTATTACCTAATTTAGTGTCATTAAACTTCCAAATAAATAAATAAACATATTATTAACTACTTAATACCACTTAAAAAAAGTAAACATGACGAAAAATGGTGGGCTATACTCGGGATGAAGGGAGGGATGAAGGAAGCAAAGACAAACCAGAATCAAGTGCTCTAGAGCGACTGGAAGATTATGTCATTTATTAGCGCGCACAAACTATAAAAGCAAGAAATTGTTCTATACAAACATCTTTCAACAGGATATGCGAAACAGGATATATATAAAAATAGCATATTATTCCAAAAAAGGAGATGAAAACAAAAAAATAGTACTAGAACAGTGAAATTATAGTAAATGTTGTAGTAAAACACAAGCGAACACATATGCGTTCGTGCTGTAAAAATATGGCCATGTTCGCAGCTCAACAGCCTGAGGATATAAAAAGGAACTATAACATATGGTGAAAGTTGGCTTTAAGTGTTGTGCAAGGATATGTGCATTTGTGTGTGTGTTTGTAAGTAGTAGCTAAGAAATGTACGAGTAGTGGTGTGTGAGACTGGCAGCATCCTTATAAGCTGGCTGTGATGCTTTGTTATAAATGTGCTAACATTTTCCAAACAATTTTCTTAACATTTCTGGGTCTTTGAGTTTGTTATTTCTTTTTCGACTTCATGCCACATTTACACAATCATATATGTATTTACATTTATATTTACATTTACATTTACATTTACATTTACATTTACATTTACATTTACATTTATATTTATATTTATATTTTATTTAGCATTTTCGAGTATTATAGCTTATGCCCATTTCTAATGTTGTTTTTCTTCGTTTTTGCTTACAGGAACTTTCGTTTTATTGTGGCGTCGCGGCACAAATGTCCTTACAGCCTCAAATATTATGGTGACAAGGGATGAGCGCATAAGACTGATAGATGGTTATAATTTAGAAATATCAGATTTAGAGCCACAAGATGCTGGGGATTATGTGTGTCAAATCAGTGACAAAATAAATCGTGATCAAGTGCACACAGTGGAAATATTGGGTAAGTTAAACTCAAATAATAAATACAAATTATTTAATTTTAAAATAAAACAATTTACACAGTATTAAGATTGTAATTTCATTTATTTTCGATTGATAAAAGTTGGCACCAAACTCTACACTCTTAATACTACAACAAATTGAATATACAATTAAATTCTACTTAAGTAATTTAATCTCATTATGAACACTTTTGCTGATTTCGTTAATTTTCAATTAATCACACTTAAATGCGTCTTAATCTGCCATTTATAGAAAATAATTACAAATTATGCCAACAAAACTTTTTCGCTCAGCTGAAACGGCAATGGCAGTACATGAATTTTTAAATAACTTTCCTTAATTTATGCACAAATGATTCACTCAACATTATTTGTAAATGCTTCAGTCAATAAAATTTTATTTTAATTAATAAAAGATACAGAAAAAGCAAGCAACAAAAAAAAATAAATAAAAAATAAGTTAAATCCAATGGAATTTTCCTGTAAAAACTTGCCAGAAAGTTTATTTTAAATCTGTGCGCATTTATGTGATATTACCAAAAATAGCTTATCCTTCCATTCTTAACCAACTATTTCCCTTTTTCTACAACCTACAAAAAACATGGTTATAATATTTAACTAAATTTATCTATTTGTCGTCTAAAACTTTTACTCTTAATATCTGCTTACAGTTCCGCCCAGTGTACGCGCCATTCCCACTTCCGGTCAGTTACAGGCACGTAAAGGCGGTCCAATTACTTTGGAATGCAAAGGCTCTGGTAATCCCGTGCCGTCGATATATTGGACTAAAAAGGTTTGTGCATCTTTATTATTATTATTATATATACAATATATATGTATTATCCTTACTTTCCTTTCACCAACTTTTCTCCTTTTTTGGCAAAATTTTGTTGTACTTCCTTTTAACGAATTTATTCTTATTTTATTTAATTATTTTATTTCTACGTAACTGGCCTATCTGCCGGGCTTGTGGGATTTGCATAGTAATGAGTAGGAAGTAAGTGAAAGTAAATTACTTTCACTGTTTAATTCAATTTATTTTGTTTGTAAGAGATTAATAAGCAAATTTTCGCAGCTTCGTTTTAAGGAAAATTATTTTAGGTAATTTTTTTTTTTGTTTACAATTTTTGCTATTTTTTTTTTAGGTTCGTAACGAAAAAGTAGTATTTTATGCTTATGGGCTTATGAGAAAATATTGTGAGAACTTATGAAAAGAATATTAATACGACTATTTGCAATGTTATTTTACCTGCGTTCATCGGTTTTTAGGAAATATCATTAGTTATAATGGATATAGATTCGATATCATCTTGTAATTATATGTATAAACTAAATCTGATCTCTTAACAAAATATCTTTTTAGTTTTTCATTAAATAATCTAACCTTAAGAGTACTTGTTATATATATATTTTTTGTTTTGTTGTGCAATTATATAAATTTTACTTAGAAAAAGATATTAGATACTGCTTAAAGTACAATATAATTACTATTATTTATTATTGATTGTTAAAAATTCATACAACACTGATTACAGAATTATACTTAAAATCTAAATTGACAATAACATATGGGTCATTCTTTTACAAGCCGGACGGATTTTGGCAAAAAAAGACCTCATGATCCCCGATTTGGCTGAAATTTTTTTTATGAGCTCCTTTCATAAAATAAGAAGACCCGTATCTCGGGAAAAAATTTTGTGAGTTTTTTCCAAGGAGACGAATATATTCGTAAGCATCAAGAGCACTCAATAAGAATTTTAATTCATTTTCATTAAAAAGTATAGTCGTCTTTAAGGGAAGCAAAAGTAGCGCTTAGTTCTTACAGGAAAATAATCCGACAAACTGGTAAAAAAGTACTTCCCTAAAAACCTTTCTCTCCTGAAGACAAGAAATAAGCATCCACAAAAAACTATTCAGATTTTTTTTTCTGTAAGTTTCCACAGCTTCTGCAGTGTATATTGAAGGGATGAGTTTCTATACACCAATGAACAGACAAGACTGCACTAACCATTGCAGTATTCATGCAGTCGGTTTAAGTGAGTTTTCAAGATATAATCTTTTTACATGAAAGCGCGGTTAACTGGGAAATTTAGAAATAAACAGGGTACTAGTTCCCAACGGAAGTGGGAAGTTACATATGAACGAAATATCTACCATCCATTTTTGCCAAGGTGAAAAAACTAAAAATAAGTATTTCTTGAAACGATATTCAAGGGAACATAAACCGACATCCCTAGGAAAACACTAAGGCGTGTCAAACTGTCTGCTTTTCCATACCGTCATTATCTTCCTCTATCTAGTAATTTAGCTCGTCAACTACCTTTCTATATACTTTAACTGACTATTTTAACTAACTATTTTATATTTATTTAATATAATTTAATTCTGTTTTAAAGTAATTTAAATACGTCTTTTGCAATAAGAAGTGAAAAGTGAAATTAAATTTATGTCCTACTAACTCCAATACTTGATGTTATAGATAAGTATATCTGTTGCTTCTATTATACGTAGCATACATATTTCTGTATATCTATTTCTATTATATGATAAATATGCTTTTACATAAAGTATGTTTACATGCATAACTCCATACATTCACATCCAATAAAGGAGAAACTTCCTCTTAACCATAAAACTGTAAATTCATATCCGCAACAGTTTGTTCCTAACAGCATCAAAATAACTATTAACATTGTAAAAAAAAAAAAATAAAATACAGCGTAAAGTAATTAAAATGAGTAAACCAAACTTGAAACAGTTGATTTAAGATATCAAAACATATGCACACGCACATATCTTAAGACAATGCAATAAAGTAATTGCTCAGTCATTTTGTAGGAATCATCATTGCACAGCTCGAGCAACAAAGTAATTGTTAAAGCAGTTACGAGCTTCAGTTCCATAAATCATCCACAAGTAAAACCAGAAATACTTACACATGTACTCCTACATACACACACAAATACAAACACAAGCTTACGTCACGACGATTACCAAACATAACGAAACGAATGCCTTGACAAAGGCAGCTTATAACTGAGTTCATATGCATGCTAATGGTTTCGAGTGTATATGTGTGTGTGTGTGTGAGTGTGTGTGATGCCGCTATAATTATACTCTTCCACATGCATGTTATGCAAGTGTCGGTATAAACTTATGTCAGTGCTTCGTGTTTATATTAAGATTTCACTGCTGCTCACGTTGCTATTCCTTGTGGAACGAAATGCAGATTAGTTCGTGTAGTTTCGGCTCTGCAGGCCCAAAACGGACAGTAAAACGTGCACATTAAGCCATTTTTTGTTTGAAGCTAAGGTCCAACAACACACATGCTAGCTCGTAAATAGCATTACACATGCATTGGAAAGTAAACAAACATACATGTGGGTGTATATGTGTGTGTACATTTTTGTAAATAATTTACAGCCACTCAAAATAATAATGTAAAATCTAATGAATTTCGTGTTTTTCTGCTTAGTTTTGCACTTCCCGTTTAAATTTTTAAAGATGGCGCATTGGTGTATGCATTGGTGGAGAGTTTCTTTTTATGAAAATATGGAATTAAAAGAATTTATAGTAAAGAAGTCGTATGTGTAAAATGTTTTGACTTTGAAGTCGTTCATATAGGGGGTTTGGACTTTGACCATGATCCCTTGCATTGAATATTCTCTTATTTAATCCATTTTGCATTGTCTTTAACAACTCGCTTTAAAAATAATTCGAATTAGTTATGTTCCAACGGGACTTCATTGATGGTTACTCGGTTAATCAAATTTCTTTGCATTAATTGAGTTTTTTTGCACAGCGTAATTGATGTTTAGTGCCTTCGCTATCTCTTGATAGGTTCCAAGTCGGTGGTGCTCCACCAGCTGCAAAGTTTAATCGACTATTTTGGTGACTTACGAGGTGTACACAGAGCGAGGTGTAGCTACTTACTTACTTGCTTAAATTCAAGTAAATATAACTTATAATGATAACCCCTTACTGAATTTCAGCCTCAAAGCGATGTACACCTTTGACTTTAAAAATAGCCTAACGGAATCGGGCAAACCACTTCTGCTCTAACATTCATTCACAGCATCCTCATCGTACGACGCAACCGTACGACTTTTTTGGCATGTTTTTGCAGTAATTTCACTTCTTTATTGTCAAAAAGCTTCACATAGCGTATTTTTCAGATATTTCACTCATATAACTTATTTAAATATTAAAATCTATATAACTTCTTACACGAGCGAAGAATTATACAGCTGCTATAACAAAATATTTAGCATGAATGCCACCTTTAATACTTGTATTATATCACATAGTTGGATTAATGTTACCAAATTTAAGGGTACCAACATCATCCTGAGAGAAAAATTGCAGATTCATGCCAACATAACCGAATATATATATATATATATATATGTAATATAAGCGCGTAGATTTTTAGAACATTGCGTTCCAAAGAGACTTGTGGACTAAAAACAAGTAAAAATTATTTCTAGGAAATTTTTTGTAATTGAAATACTCTTGTAAAATATTTATCTCTATATAACCTTGACTATTTAGAAAACCTAAGTTTAATACTTTCGTTTTGTAAAGCAATGATAAACTTATATTGAGATTTTTTTCTATTTATAAGCAATTTATATATTAATCTTACAATGCACATTTTTAAAACTAATATTTATTAAATTTTGAATTTTTTTTTACAAATCTTAAGCTATTTCAATCCCTTGCAATAAATAACACTTTAACTATCCAAAATCCAATAGCGGCGCTGATTGTTTGTATTATCAAATATGCTTTTGTTACGAATGATTCGCTGTCTTATATGACCACAAAGCCAAACATATCATTTCTCAAAGTCATTACCAAACAAAACCATAAGCATACATATATATGAAACCAATTACATTCACATGCATGCATATATACACAAACAAGGAATAAGCGCTCCCGAAATATTCCATCTCTGTCCGCTTATTTGCATTATGACCGAAATGCAGTAAATCAGTTAATCATCTATGCAAACGCGCTCGGTTGAACTGACCAAACTACAATCAGAAATTCGTTGAATTACTAACAAGTCCTGGCTCATAGAGCAGTGTGCTTCATATTACATTGCTACGTCTCCCGCAAGTGGAAACATATTTCTGAATTTATAAGGCAGGATCAGCCGTTGTGTTTTCCTATTAGCGGCAATAATTCAACTTCGGTTGAAGCAACTTTTTAACTTTCATATGAGCAGCGCGTTTCATTAATGGGGATTATTAATGGGCTCTATGGTCATTTAGGAAAAAAAATCGAATGCTATTTTTGTCCAAAATTGATTGCACAAATTAGAAATTTAATAACTTTAAGTTTAGAGTTAAATTTGTTTCCATTTTATATATAAATAACAAAAAAGTTAGGAATGGTTGAACATATTAAATAATATTAGTACTAAAATATTAATAGTAATTCTGATATTCGAATAAAATTTATATAAGTTAGTAACAATAATTTAAAAATATAAGTATTATGTTGGCAATTGGTTTAAACTATAAAGAAGTGCATAATGAATAGATTTCAAAAAGAATATATCAGTTATAGTTTAAAGTACTCGTCAATCTAGTACTTACTAAGCCTGAATATTATATTTCCTGTAACAGATTTTACCTTATATGAAACTATTTAAAGAGACAGGTACAGGTCAGGTACATATTGTTATCTTAATTACTGTTGTTATATTCTATCTAATAAGGTATGTCAAGATACTTTGACAGTATTTTGAAAAACTCTTTTTTACACATTAAGTAAATCAGAATGCTAACTTTCAAGAAACACTCTTAACTTTAAATAATAAAAAAAAATAGGTACTCATCATAATTTTATATATGTTTGAAATAAAATGAGTCATACGTTTGAAAACTTTGGGGATTGGCTATTTCATCCAATTCTTCCAGCAGTGCTTTAATGGTTTATTATATTTAACATAAGAGTCTTAAAGAAGTGTAAATTCAATAGAATTGTTCTTAACGATATTAAGCAGACTCAACTCTTAGTTACTTTTTTAAAATAAAATGATAATTCATAGTTAAAGAGCATGTCTTAAACATATTCACTGCTTATATGTACCCTGATCGGTTATTCCAACGATCCTAAGGATCCTATTACGTTAATTGGGCCATTTTGTTACGTCTCTGATGTACAAGCAAAAATCTTGTCTTCTCTGTTGACATAATTTATTGAAAGTAGTAGAGAGCACAACGATTAAGCTTAGCATCAAGGTTATTGTTTTCAAATTGACTACTTATATCCTCCATTTCGATAATTGGTTGTTGTCAACAGCTCTTTAATACTTTGTTTCTTTAATATCTAATACTTGTTAAGCCTAGTGGAGAGGTCTCAATAGCAACAACAATGCTGGAAAGAGCTCAAATATGTCCCTTTCTCACTTACAGAAATTACATTCTTAATGATATATTTTTCACACTTTTAGCATAGAATCCTAATTCTAGGTTTCAAAACACTGCTTTTCCAGTTTTCTGTAGGCCATGTTATGCAGAGTGTCTCGGGCAGTGACACTAAAAGGCGCAAATTTTTAAATTTATTACTAAACAACACTGTGTTGCCTTAGTGACTGGGCACAAATACGCCGGCTCTCATACCAAAGTTTGAACGGGCATATTGCCCGAAACATCTCTGCATTTTTACAAACATTTTAAAAAAAAATTATATGTGAAATCTATAAGCTAGGAGAAAGTAGAAAGTATGAAAAAAGATAATTATCACAAATTTTTAGAGTTTCAAGAAAAAAAAGGAACAAGAAATAATTCCCCGTAACAAGGACATCCAGTCAATTAGATACCAACTACTATAAGTACTACCATATAGTAGAAAATCATGTTCTTGAATAATTTAGTTGAGTTCATCATTTTGGATAGTATTATATGCAGATTTCAATTGCATTAATTGCATCCAAATCTTAAATTTTGTTACATAACTCAATATTTAGTTCCCATTATATGTGGTTTAATTTTTATTGAATTTAAATTTAACTTTGTTAGACATAAATAATTTATCTAACATATATAAAGCATTTATAAAGTATTTAACAATTAAAATTTAAATTTAAAAATTTCATTTTATTCACTTATTCAATTCTAAAATGCATTTGTTGAAGCTTTCATGTAAATGTGACTGAATAATCATTTTGCCAAAAATATATGCCATATACACCTATTGTGTACTAAATTCTATGCAAATGCCAAAAACCTAAATATTTGCATATAACATAGGAGAACTGGAATTATTTATTACTGAACTGCACTATATTTGGCAAAGCCAAATCAATGCTTTGCATAGAAATGCCAGGTCAACAGTGTCAATATGAAGTCAATATGTCATTTTCTACGCCCCGAAAACTGTAAATGACAAGGTGAAATGTTAGCAATACCTTAAGCCAGTCACTCTCTCACACTAACATATCTCCGGGTTTTGTTATTGCAAACTGCAATAAACTTTGGCACTGACTAACAGCAAAAAGAGCTAACAGCGACCAACAACAGCAACAAAAAACATTAATTAAGCACCTGCCAAAATGTAATTAATGTGATTTATACAACCACAAATAAACCAAAAACAAAAAAGCATTGAGACTTTGACTATGTTAATGTATGAGTACCGCAATTGTTTGTGTGCTCTGTTGCTAGCATATTCTGCTGCTCTTGCGCTGCCAATATATATGTGTGATTTTGTATTTTATTTAAAAAAATTATTTATTGCATATTTGTTGCTTACAATTTTTTTTCTGCTATAGCAGCGCTGTTTTTGTTTTCACTTTAAACTTACATGTATGTCAGATATTTGCCGCATTCTTTGCTATTGCTATACCGCTGCTTTTGCATAGCTTATTTTTATTGAGAAAAAATGTTTGATTTAGCATGTGAATATGCTAGCAGCCACTGTTACTGCGTTGGCATTTCGCTTTGTTGCCGCTTTTGCATAGTTTATTTCTGTTGAGAAAAAGCGCTGTTACTGCGCTGTGACTGCGCTGCTTTTTGCTTTGTTGGTCCTATGCTACTTTATATGCAGAAATTTTTGAAATATTTGCCAACAAATGAAGTGTTTGTCTTCCTCGTTGCACTGCTGTGCAGCAACGGCAGTAGTTGCTGCTTTTTTTGTTTATAAAGAAATCCGACTGTTGTTGGTTTTACAGTCGTCTGTGCTGTTATACTGTTAACTAACAAATTTGAAATCATTCACTTCATGCGAGTTCAATAAATTTTCTCACTACTCTTACTACACAAAGCCTTACAAGAAACTGTCCAGAAATGCATTTGCGGCTTTAGCTGCTTCAAGTTTTACCTTTTCAATGGATGGGAGCATAGCAGGCGGTTTACTATATGTACTGCTATACTCTCCTTTAACATTCTGCTATTCTGCCACTCTGTTACACTGCAATGCTTCCTGCTGTCTGCTCATGCTGTATCTTGCATGTCGACGTTTCCGTTCGATTTATTTGCATTATTCCATATCAACGAAGCGTAAAGCGGTATTGTCCTTTTTTTTAAAAAATTTTCAAATTTTCTGTGCTCTTAGCTTTATCACTTAACCATTTTAATTTTTTTACTTCTACACTTTCTCATAAACTTTTGTCCAGTTCTAGGGAATCTTTTGAATTTATTTTTCTTCTTTTGAAATTGGTTTTTTCTTTTTCAAATTAAGCTCAACCCTTGGCTGCTTTATTGAAACGATGTCATTTGCTTTTATATTTTTTCTCGTTTTTTAACCTTTGTTCATACTCTGCGGATGCTATCCGTTTACACCTTTTTTGCATGTCACCTTTTATGGCATTGAACTTAAACGGAAATATGCAATGACTTCTTCCTTTGTTGCTGCTTGCTCAGTACAAACTCGTGCTTCCACAATCTTCTACCAAAAAAGTGGGTTGACATGTTTTCCTTACTTTTCTTCACATTTTTCATGTTGAGTTTTTCTTTTAACTTTTTGCTAATATTTCTTGTAAAGAGACTTTTCCTGTTAAATGCACCGACAGATTGCATTTTTATGTTCTTTCACAACTTGGCTAAAGAGCTCAACTTTGGATTTATAAGTTGCTTTCATATAGTCATGTAGTCATATGCAAAAGGAAAGCCAAAAACAATTTCAAAGCAACCAAAAAAAATAAAAAATAGAAGTACATAAAGTAGATATCCTGTATCCTGTGTGTTACAAGCTTGTTATACAAATGCTATATTTAAATGTTTTTATGTTATAATCATTTTGCTTACAATATTTGTTTGCAAAATTTCTTTATATATTTTTTAAGTAATTTTTTTTGTCTCTCTTGATTTCGAAATTTTTTATTTTCAGCATTTTAATTATTGTCATTATTCTTTATACGTTATATAGTGCAGCAGTAGTTTTTTGGAACAACTACAAATTTATTTACGCTGTTGTTTTTTATATTCCTGTTTTTAGAGTGGCACTGGCAAGAGCTCTGCACGTATTGGCGATGGCCCAATTTTGACTTTGGAAAAACTTGAACGCCAACAGGCAGGAGTCTATCAATGTACCGCAGACAATGGAGTTGGTGATCCAGTTACAGTTGATATGCGTTTGGATGTTTTATGTAAGTGGTGTTTTAATAAGTTATTAATTGAGATGAAGTGAAGATATGATATTTGTTGGATACTGAACTTATAAGTACGAACTGATTTAGGAGGAAAATTTTGGAGCAATACTCAACAATAAAACACGAATTTATAGAATTAATTTATACAAAAACATTTTTTTTTTTTGGACATAGACCATTTTCATCTCTTCATACTATCTGCAAGTGTATTCTCATTTTTTTATACATTATAAAAGATATGATTCTATAAGGTGCTCTAAAAATTCATCAGCTACAGATATTGTTTCTGAATACAATTAGAATTTGTTAATAATTACTGAAACTTATACTTGTTACGCTTACTTACATGCTAACTTTCTTACTTAGTTGGCCATTGCAGACGTGAGTCGTCCTTAGTCGCATCCAGTAACCTCCTCCAGCTAACCCGATCAGTGGTTTGCTGCCGCTAGTTGGTAGTACCAAATATCTTCAAGTCTTTGGTTACTTGATCTCTTCACCGTTATCTAAACGTCCTTTATCGCGTTTTTATCTACGGCTACCTTTCTAGCCGCAGCATTTTCTTCCATTCACAAGACATCATCAAGCCAGGGAAACCGTTGAATTTTTATGCGCTTAACTATGTCAATGTCGTGACATAGCTTTTACACTTTATCATGCCATCTATTTCGATACTCGTTGCAACAACAGATTTTCCGCAAAAAATTTTCTCTAGATTGATTTTTCAATTACTTTTGGTTCTTATTGAAGCCTCTGTACCATATAGCATAATAGTTGAATAGTGAAAAGTGATTTTTTTTTTGTCAAGAGGGGACTTTATTACTTAATTTCCTATTTAGCTTGAATTAATATCTGTTGGCGAATCTTCGTTCAGTCTCTAAGCTGATGCATTTTCTTGTATTTACGCTGGTTCCTAAGTAAATAAAATCTTACAAAACTTCGAAATTATAGTTATCAACAGAAATGTGAGTGCAAAGACAGTTGTATTTGCTTCTCGACAGAAAGTATTTCGTTTTCCTTCCATTCACCACAAGACCTAAATGTGTCTTGCGTCAGGTTTTTTTCTAAGTTAAAAGGATTCAGTCTTACGGCTTGTATTTTCAGAACAACAATATCAATATCATTGGCATTCGTCAGTAGCGTCATACTTTTGTAAAATATTGTGCCACTTTCGTTTAAACCCAATGCTCGGTTAATCGTTTCCAACATTAGATTGAAGAAATCACACGACAAGGAGTCGCCCTGTCTGACACCTCATTGAGTATCAAATGGATGGAGAAGTTCTTCTCAATTACAACAGAACTGTTGGTGCTACTCAACGTCATTTCAAATACCCATATAAGCTTGAGTATTCAGCGGCCTAAGGATCATTTCTAGCAGTAGGTCAAAAGCGGGTCTGATATCGATAAGTAGATAGTGTGTGTTAGTTGCGCAGCCATCGAAATAAAAAGAGCAGCTGTATCGGAATAATAATCTAGAGTTTTGAAAAACTTTATTCTTAAATATTAAGAAATATATTTCATAAATAGTATAAAATTCATTTAATGTAGTTATCGCAGACTTACAAATCAACTCTCGTATTTGTATGAAAAAGTATGCCATATTAGTGATTATTTATTAATGTATAGTATTATTGTCTTAATAGATTTAATTGCTTTATTCGAGTAAAACGATTTACTTACTTATGGTGGGACGTTGGGACAGCGCACCATCCAACAAGTGGCCCCACTGAAGTAAAGGATTAGACAAAAGAGACCACGAAACTACGTGGGTCCTTTTTCGTCCTTCTAAATTGGATGTAAAAGGATGGTTTAAGTAAACAAATCTTAGCTCACTATAATTATAAATCTTAAATAAACTATCCATTTCTACTTTTTCGCAAAAGGGATAACTACTTTCAATTTCAGACAATTAAAGAACGATTAAAATATTTTTAAAATTCATTTATAAATGTCACTTAACTTCCACTGTTTCAAAGTACCAAACTACCACAATCATAATAGTTAAATTTTACTAACTCAAAGGGAATATCCAAAATTCCTAGTATTTTCCATTTACTTCAAAGTTATCATTAATCATGTCGAATGAAAACTTACATGCAAACGAATTTCTCCAACGCACAAATTGTTCTGATATGTTAAGCAAGATAAATGTTTAAATAAATTAAATGTTAAAAATATTGAAAGGATGAAAAATTCAACATATGCATCCAAACAAAGGATGCTTAAACCAATTTCAGCATAGATTTGAAATTCAGTGAGACGTTTTCATGCAAATTGCTACTGAAAATTCTAAGTGGAAAGTAGCAGTTGATGTGAAACACATGTGAACGCATCTCCTTATGTGTTAAAATAAATTTCACATAAACTGGAGCAGCAAAATTTTATAAATTTTCTTTGAAAAAAATATTTATAAGGTACGAAAAAAATATTTAATTTTTTATTTACTCAATTGAGTTAGACATTTATTTTCCTTTTATATTTTAATAAATAAATACATTTTATTATACGCGCAACTTACTTCAAAAATCCGAAACACATTTTAGAGAAAAAAGATATTTAAAGAACTGAGTAATCTCAGAACAAACAAGAAACATTTACTCGAGGTTAAAGTCTGTTTTATAGACCGAAGTACTCAGACCTCTAAAACAAATACATAAACTTCTGGACTAGCACATGACAAGGAGAGCAAAGGAAAGATGGTCAAACTTACCCACTTGTAAAATAGCTAGGATCATGTGTAAGCACATATAGAAGGAAAAGCACACCGAGGATGTTATATCGTCTAACCGAAGGAACTGTAGAACATTAATTGGTGTATTGACAGATCACTGTATGGTGGCATCACATATGCAAAAATTAAACCTAATTCGCAGCGATGCTTATAGAAAGTGCAACAAGCTGGATGCAAAGGAAATCCTCGAGCATCTGCTGTGAAATTGTCCGGCTCTCTTGAGAACTCGACAAAAACACTTGGAGTCTGTCAGTTTTACCGACTGGAGCACATATCTGAGATTTCTGTCGAAATCCTAACAAAATTCACTAATAACACGCGTATCCTAAGCGATGCACACTTTAGCTAAAAATTAAAACTCTGCACTGGACCATAATGGTGCTCGCATGACGTTTTTGGTCTGCCAGCATAACCTAACCTAACTTAACCTATAGAATTAGCAGAAAGTTAAAAACTGGTGTAGAGATTATAATTATTAAAATTGAATTGAAATTATAATATATTCAATTTTACAATTAAAAATTTTAATTTTTAATATTTATATATTTATATATTTTTAGATCCACCCGATATACAAGTGGAGAAGTCCTGGATACATTCTGGTGAAGGTTTCGAAGCAAAGCTTGTTTGTATTGTATATGCTGATCCCGTTGCAACGGTTAGTATATACTATAAATATCTTCAAAAATCAAGACCAATAAAGTATATATATAAGAATAAGAATTATTAATAAGAATTATTATAAGAATTATTTAGCCACTATATATGAAAGAAATATAAAATTTGATTCATATGGCGTCTCATATTCATTTTCATTAATATTAATATAAAATATATAATTTTTATTTTATTATTTTTTATTATTTTAAAACTATGAACTATATAATTTTTAATTATCTTTAAACTAATAATATATGGTAATCTATGTAACTCCCCGTTCATATGTAGCATTATTACTACTGATTTTATGTACTTCTGATTATATATACTTGTCACTATTCAGGCTATGACTGCTCACTTTATTACTTCATAAATTAAGGGGGTTAGTGCTAACAACCGCAGTGTATTACTCAACGTACGATTAAATTACACTACAATAGATGACGACTCTTTGGATAATTCAATTGTATAGAATACAGTAGCCAGAGACTGTAACTAAGTCGGACACAGAAATGGACTTAACTTTAATTTTAACATATCTATCTACTTAACTAACAACTGCAGTTAATTAATTATCTCCATACTACAATACCTGCACAATAGGATTAAATCTTGTCTCCTTCGAAAAAGTAGTCAAAAAATTTTAGAGATGAGACATGTTTGTCTTAAAAGGTGACTAAAATCCATTTGATATTGTTTTGAGTACAAGTGGTAGTGAATAAGTTTCTCTTGCCGTGGCCGATCAGAGGTGTAAATCTAGTACCACGGAGTCAGCTGCGGCTGTCCTAAACTAAGTTGTTCTCTTTTATGGGAGCAATTTGGTGGCTGTAGTTAAAACCCAAAATTACTAAAACCCAATGATTGCATTGATTACCTCCATTTGATGTGAAGTTGTATTTTATAAGCAACTGCTGTGCAGCAAAAAACAGCAGCGTTCCCCTTTAGAAAGAAAATCCAATGGTGGAATTGATTGGTGCATATTACTGATACATATGTTCAGAGTGTCATGGTGTTAAACTTCAACACCAAGTTATCACTTTAAAAAACTATGGACTCTGTAAGTAAATTGAACGTTGGGAATAAGACATGAAGCCACTAAAACTATGTCTAAAAAATAAATCGAGAGAAAGCCCGTGGTCCATAAGGGATCAATGGGTGAAATACTACTTTAGTACGTAGGAGATTTATATAGGAGATGAGAATAGATTAAATATTCAACAAGCTTAGTTCATCTAAGTTAGAAACAACAGATCGAGATGAGGTAATAAGTGATAATAGAGGTAGCTAGTTGCAAAATTGACATCAATTTGGATTAATTATTAACTCTACAATATGGAAGTGTTGCTTTACTTAATGACTTACATACATTTTTAGTGATTTTAAGTGTTTATATATTTTGACTGCACATACTTTGAAATTAGATTAGGTTTTATTTTACATTTCTTTCTAGCAAAAATAATTAAGTATATTCCTGGTTGAGCATCTTACTTACTCTACGCTAAGATAGTAGATAGATGTTTATATATGAGTAGTATCAATCATTTTCTGAAATTTTATTAGTGATTACCTTAAGTAGTGCTTTTTTTATTTTAACATTCTAAATAATATTATATTGTATAACTTTTTAAGTTTTTTTAAATTATTTTTTTTTTCAATATCCTTTTGGGAGCACACCTTTTTTCTTTTTAAAAAACTCAGTTGATGTTTTCATTCCCATTTCATTTGATTGCTGATAATATTTTAGCGCGCTTGACTAATTTTCACTTTTTGCTTTATCTTTCCTGCACTGGTTTTATGTGCTTTTTTCTTATTAACAATTTATCTTTTGGAACTTCGCAGGTGTCCTGGTACCAAAACTCATTTCCGATACAAACAACCGATAGGCGAATTATGTCATCAAGAGGAAATCGACACACGCTCACCATACGTCACATACAGCAAGAGGACTTTGGCAATTACAGGTGAGTTCGGAAAGCAAAATAGAAACAAAAGTGTAGGAAAAAATTGACTAAAATGTGTTGAAAATAGAGGAGAATAAATGAAGTAGACAGACGCAGGGCGAATGAGTAGAGTAACTTCATTTAATTTTATTTATTTTTTCTTTTATTTATTTGTTCTGCCGTTAACAAAGTTTATGGATGACAACAATTTAATGCACTGACTTTGCTTTCCTTTGGTACCAACTGTCCGTGCAATTTACACTACACAGTGTCCGAAAAGTTTTATCGGGGGGTTTCTCACTCTCAGTTAGTGATTTTACAGACATTAGGCTGTGCGATGGATACTGTACCGTTGGGCAGTGAAACTAATCGCCAGCCAGTCATACAACAGATATGTAAAGAAATAACTTTCTCACATCACTGTCAATCTGTCTAAAACATATTAAGAGCACCGGAAATAGCCATGCTGGCAACATACACATATTTTAGGCAAAACTTTTTTGAACCTGACTGACGTGCTGGATTACTCGAGTTCACATTGGTTGAGGTTGTGTTGTGGATTTAAGTCCATGTGCGCTGGTGTCACTATATGGAATTTCAATACAATGTAATATGTCAACGAATATAATAGATGCTGGCTGGCATTGGATTTTATGGCAAAGTTAATTTGGAAAATTTTGAAATAATCGAAATAGAAAGGAAATTAGAATTTACCTTGAAACTGTTAACAACAAAAATCGATGGGAAAAAGTTCAAATGAAATGAATTCAAAATATTTGTAAAATAAAATTAAATTTTGAAATTTTGACCAAATACTTTTCACAAACTCTAACGTTAAAATGTGTGCTTTAAACTGACCTAATAAATAAATATATATTTTATTTAAGTTCAATATTTCATGTTAAATAAAGTCCACTGAATTAAGTTAAATAAAAATTTTAACAGAAATTTATAATTCCACAAATAAATTTGGTCAGCTAAACAAATCTCATTTTAAATGGAAAAAAAAATATGAAAAAATTATTTAAAAACTTGGGCCAAAAAAAAAAAAAACAAGACAAAGTATTAAATAAAATCTCATAAATCTGTTGTGTACACTGTTGTGCACAATAGACAAACAGCGAATTCGTAGTGTACAACAATAACATAAACAACCAACAAACGAGCAGTTATTCATACAACAAATGCACATTTAATAAATGGCACTCGTATTTGTATGGCACATGTAATTCCAGCATGAGTACCGTATATGTCCTACGGTTTATGTGCTTTACAACAGTTGTACATGACCAAAATGGAGTACACTACTCCGTGAACAAGTACTACTAACAAATGGCATACACCACTAAACAAACTAAACTATCAAACATTCTAGAGTGAGTACCACCCACCCAACCTAAGAGCAAACGACTGACTGACTGGCTGACTGGCTGAATGGCCTGACCTGACCCGATACGACCTACCAACTAGTCAACAAAAATACTTACAAACAAACAAATAATAAATACCAATTAAATTCCAGCTGCGTTGCCGATAACTCACTTGGACGTTCGCGCAAATATATGGAACTGTCAGGTCGTCCAGGACCAGCTGAATTTTATTCACCCAAATGGGGTCGTTCAACGGACAGTTATAATCTAACATGGAAAATTGATAGTTATCCACCATTGGAGGAGGTGCGCCTCTTGTACCGACGCGTTTTGGTAAGTACGAGTAGAAAAAAAAATAAAGTTATGTTAAAAAATGCAAAAAAAAAAATATTTGTCCAAAAATATATTTTTATACACATTTGTTAGTCTTTTATATGACACAAAACATATAATAAAATATTACACTGCAAAAAAAATCTGCATTTTAGAACATTAAAACTTCACTGAACGTCCTGCATTCTGCACTTTGTTTACATAAAGTGCTTCGTGCGCTATTGTTATTTTTATAACTTCTACCACACAAACCATTAAAAATTATTAGTTTTTTTTCCCTCCCGAAAAGGTCAACAAAATTTTTAAAATATATAAAAACTAAAAAATAGATTATGAAACCTAAAAACCCAATATTTATATATAAATCGTGTATACAAATTAATTATTTTAGGACTCGCATGCCAAAAGCTACACACAAATTGCTTCTGCTGACCTACAAAATTTGTCGTTTTATCGTTTTGTCCTTTTAATTTGAAAAATTCTATGCAATAAATTTTATTTTCAAATCTCTTTTAATTTTAAAATATTTTTTAATAAATTTATTTTATAATGCTTTATAAACAAAATAGCTATGAATTTTAATCTGTTGTTGTTTATATCACTTTAAACGGATTTGCCAAACTGAAATGGAGCAATAAGACAACTTGAACCACGAATTGAAAAATAATTCAACTTAAATATTAAAAATTCTTAAAATATTTTTATAACCGAATATGATTGAATTCAAAAAGCTTATTTATTATAATTAATAATATATTTATTTACTTTAAAATAACAACTCAAAAGAAGAAACAATACGCACGATTTGTGCGAATGAGTCATAGATCGTGGTTATCGTTATCGATTATCCCATTAATGATGAAAAATGATTCAATTATTGATTGTTTTATTTCTTTTCTTCAAGTTTCTTGAGTTATTTTTTTAATGAAAAATATATTTTGTCATTATGAAAGATTACAAAAACATATAACGAGCTCCAATTTCCAGAACTTTTTTAAATCTATAAAGCGATTTCTTAAGATACGTACAGTCAGCTTGTTTTTCCCTAGGCTAAAATCGCTATCGCTTTGCACGCATAAACCAACGATTTTCAAAACTTTTATATCAAATGCTATACCGACAGTAAATCAAACTGGCAGGCAATATAGTTTTATTCCTAGAAACAATGAAGTCATCGGTACTTCTATTAAAAAATCGCACAATGCAGCAGCCCACACCATAGCTACATTAATAAAGGCAGTGTAATCACTAATCACTTCTTTCTATTAATTATTGACTTTTTTGATAATATAATGTGGAGCTTTATTAAATACATAACCTTTTTAAAGCATATTTCCCAATACAAAAGTAATCGTTTCACAGGGTGTTTTTCGTGAACGCCATAAAGCCATCTCATTCCTATTCTCTTCATGAACACCATAAAATAACAATCCCATTTTTTTTCATATCTTAAGAAATCTCACACAGTCGCTCAATGATGTAACGAAAAATATAGTGACAGTCTTCATTGTTTTTTTGTTTCAAAGATGGCACTAAACGACATCGATATCGTCATATTCTGCGAAATATAGAGCAAAATGTTTGTCCATCTTAACTTATTTAAAAAAAAAAATAAAACAAGACTTATACGACAACTATTAAACTCGGTTTGCTTTTACTGACTTCAATCTTTCAAAGAGGGTACAAAGAGACAGCAACATGGATAAATTCTGCGAAATGCAATATGAAATATCTGCTCATATTATCATATATTTAAAGTAGTAAGACCCAATAATACAACTAGTTAACTAGACAAGCTTCTCTTAACTCCCACCGTTCAATTATGGGTCTAAAGAAAACTAACATTGGTAGATTCTATGACTTGAGAAGTAAAAACATTTTATCTTTTTTTATTTTAAAAGAAGTACGGGCGGGCTAATAAGCCAATCAGATAAATAGACATGCTTCTCTCAAGTAACACCTTTCAAAAGGTGGGACTTTAGAAAACCGTTTCAGTTATATTTTTTTGAAGAGTGATATATCTAACCATATTATCTTATTTTTATAGAAAGACGAACTAACAATACAATTAGTTGATTAGATCTAAAAACATAGACGTTAATGGATTCTGTAAAATGCGTAGTAAACATCTACCCACCTTAAATGATGGTGTCAAGTGATTGCCAAGAAACTCATTCTTATAATTCCATTTGGTATTCATTAGTTAATCGAAATGGATGGTGAAACAAAATAATTAAAAATAAAAAGTATCTATATTCATGATATAAACATAAAGAAGCATTCAGATCATATTCATATGAGACTAAAATTCTCATATTCTCAAAACCAGGGAAGATTTATGATATATATATATATATATATATATATATATATATACATACAAGAAAAAAAGTTAAAAAAAAAAATTATAATATATGGATAACCTATATTCGCACAAATATATATATACATATATATATATATATATGTACATACAAGAAAAAAAGTTAAATAAAGATTTATAATATATGGATAACCTATATTCATACAAAGAAGCAATTCTATATAGTCTTCAAACTCTTCAGAAACTCAAACCGTGATTTCATAACTTAAGAAATAAAAAATGTTATACGGTTATGCGAACCCATTTTTTAAGATACAAATCGTTAAACTTACTTTTAATATATATTTATAATTATATTTTGTTACTTTAATAAATAATTAAAAATTCTTTACATTCGAAATAATTAATTGGCACCTCTTCATTCATTAATTATGATGTTACCTACCATCAAATTAATTAGTTAATTAACATATTACAAGATAACGTTCGAACACACTTTACATAGACAATTAGTCTGATTCGGTTTAATGATTAATTATAGTATTGAATAAATTTATTCGTGCTTAATTTATTACTACGATTACTGAAAATAATAGCACAAAAGGCATTCTTCTTGTTTATATCAATTGTGGTATTTTGTATTGTATTGTATATGTTAGTCACATTAATTGACAAATTGACACATGATTTCTAATTAACATTGTAACGCTGTTTTCATCGTATCTATAATTAAATAATTAAAACCGAAACTATAATAAATATTAGTATAATTATCCTTTCAATCTACAATTATTACATTTTTATTGATAAATATTTCATTTGGATTTAGTAACAAAAAATTGTTAAAAAATTATTTCTATATATGTAAGAATTTGTTTTATATTAATAACTTCCATACTAATCGTCCTTGTCCTTCCCGAAGTTAATAACATTTAAAAGAGTTAGTATTTAAATTTTTAAAGCAAAACGGAAAAATGTCCCTTATTCTTAATATAAGTATCATTGATACAATACGTATTATTTTGAAGGTAGTAATTTAAGCAAGATACATGTTTCTCATATTTGGCTCGCAAATGCTTTACTCTTGAACTTCTGACAAGATTTGGTATGATATATCAATCTGTTCTTTACTTTAACTTATCTACAGAATTCATTACATCTGGAAATTATGTATGAATAAAGTTATCATCCCCGTTGTTATCACTGTCATAAACATTACCATCATCTACAACTGTGTTATTATTGTTAACATTATCGCCATTATAATTATCATTCCCACCCTCAAAATTGTCATCATCTTCATTCTTACCATGGTCATTATCATCGTCATCACCATTCTCATTATCATCATTATCCCCATCAGCATTGTCTTCATCATCATTCTCGTCGCTATCATCTTAATCATTAACGTCCTTATCATTGTCATCGCCAGCATTATCATTACTAATATCTTTCTTTTTATCGAGATCATTACCATCAACTTTATCATTATTGCCTTTACTAATATCATTTTCATTATCACAATTATCATCTCAACTATTGCTATTATTATTACCATCATTAATAACGTTAGAGATATTCATGCGTCTTGATTTTGTCCATTCCTTTTCTTAAGGTACCATGTTGTATACTAGCTGGTATTAGTTATTTATAGTCATGGTTTTCTTACCGATCTCCATATTATCTGTTTTAAGTAGATATTAAAAACTATTTTGATTAATAAGTCTTATAACTGATATAACATAACTGTTCTCTTTAAACGGTTTTTTAGACAAATATTGAAAATATCAGAGAACCAAACCTTGAGATTAAGTTTAGAAAATAAAAACGAAAGGTGGACTAATTAATAATAAATAATAACTAAAATTTATTTTGGTTCTATAACAAGAAATCCATTCCGAATTGAAATGGATGTAATAATGTTGAAATTTTTAAGCGCAAAAAAAAAAGATTTTCATTTTTAATCAATTTAACTTTAATTAAATTAACTTTAATTTAATAAAGCTCTTTTGAATATCAACAAATATCCATCACCAGTGGTCTTTGAAAACATCTATTGGTTTAATTGACCACTCGTAATCTTTAGACTGCAGGTATCAGAAATAAAACCATGTCATGTCTGAACCATAGAGTCGGGTGTTTAACATAGTACATACGTTTATTACTAAAAATTTATGTGAATTTAGAAATAATTATTTGGTAATCTTAGTAGCTTGATATTTTTGGATTGACTACTATATATCCATATAAATAATTCAATTAGTACATATTTTTATTTATGACATCCACTCGATATGTTAACAAAAAATTATATTGAAATATTAATGAAACCAAGTCTTTGTTCTTATTCTTCCTTTGACGAAACTGTCCTTGAAGGACTTACAGTAAGCATAATAGGTTCTCGTTCTTGTCATTGACTTGTTTTTTCTGAATTAAACTAAATAAGGTCCTTTTGCGTTAGATTAATCCTATAAGAACTCGCTTATTCCAATTTCAAATAAATAAACTAAGATTGCAAATCAATCAAGTGCTTTGATATTGACATAATTATATGCAAATACTTTTACATTATCAATTAAAATTAATAGTCAAATTGGAATAAAAATGAATAAAAAAAAATTACTTACAAATGAATTGAAATATTGCGAACGTAAACTTAATAGCGCGGCAAGAAAACTAAAATAATTGGTAAAAAATAATTGAAATTGATATTGAAGTGAATATTCTGCATCGTTATTTACTTTTAATTAAATATCAAATGAAGAACTGAATAATTAATCTGCATATTAAACAAGCAACTGGGAAGGAAATCACAACAAATAAACCAATTGCTTACCACCCAAGCCACCTTGCGGGAATCTCTCATCAATTACAGAGAAGTTTGCAAATCATTAAAAAATAAAAAATCGCATTTAATTGAAAACCAATTAACTCAACAAAATGTAAGAGATACGCTAGAAAGCAATTAAATATTATTCTCCATAAAAGTTAAAGATTAAAATATAAAATAAAAAATAAAAAATAAGAGAAAAAAATTCAACTGATAATAGTGAAGATACTGGAACCGAAGACCACGTGAGTGGAAACTGTGTTAACTAAAGGACTTGGCGATGGAGAAAAACCGCAGTGTAAAAATATATAAACAAATAAATTGATTCGATATACAAAAGAAGTATTCAGATCAACCACAAAAACAACTTGTAATTCAATGAGAAACTAGTAATTAAAATCAAATCCAATTAGTGTAAGCCAAAAGTATTTCGAAACCACTTAAAAGCAAATCAAAAACTACCAAAGCCAAGAAATATACTTAAAATTGAATTACATGATAATTAATTATTTTCATTTTAACACCAAATGTAATAAAATCAAAATAAAAAACTATTTTAATTATTAAAACCACCAATTCATCCAAAAAGAAACTCAAATGAAAAAATAGTTCAAGAGTTTTTCATCATGAAAATCTATAAGATATTATTTCGTAGTTCAAGTTTTGTTTTGATTTTGCTTTAAAAAATTATTAGGATTTTAATTTCATTTCAAGCACTAAAAATTCTCATCAAAATTATAAAAATTACGATATTTGTTTAACTTGAACTACGCTTGAAAGAGCTATGAGTACAGTACGCATGAAGAGTAAAGATACTTAATACCTTGGAAAAAGTATTTTTCATGAATATTTATAATGAATCAATGCAATTTCTACAGTTTCACTGCGTTATGTTTTTCTATATTCTGGTTCGCATATTAAATTTCACGATTTACAAGTTGTTTTCAGTATAAATCCACTCAGCAACTTCAACATTGTTGTCAGGATAAACATCGAAAATTTCCAATTCGATGAGAGTGAAGATTTTTATCATTTTGATTTCCATTTTTATTATTTTTCTTTTTTTTTCTTGTTATATCTTTTAATGCTCTTCATCTGAATATTTTTTCTTAACTGCATATCGATTACAAATGCACAGTACATTTTTATTTCAGAATTCCAGTTTTAATAATAATATTACAAACAGTTCACATTCGTTGAGCTATTTTATTTATAAATTATGTATGGGTATTATCAGCCATATATACTAATTCATGTATATAAGAAAAATTTAATAGGTAGAACTTATGCTTTTATAAGGACTTACAAAAAACTTGACAAAAGACAAGTGTAATGTATAATTTAGACAGTTCAATATTCAATCTATTAGGTTAAAAATTTAGATTAATTACAGTCTCTTCTATGGAAAATTTAATTATACTTAAAATTGTGTAACATAAATTAGTTAATATATTTTTATGGATTAAGTATGTGGCACTTTCCAAGTAACTAGATGATCAGAATCAGATCATCATGATCATGATCTTAGTAGATTCAATCTAATAAGATCATCTACTCATCTAAGATATGCTGCTCATTATGTAGGAACACCATATCCAGTAGTTTTATATATTAACACTCCAGCTTTACTGTTGATTTATTCATAACGCAATTATTGTCGTTATTACTAGTATATACTAATAATATTATCACTACTGCATATTACACTTAGATAATCTTACCACTCGTTGAAGTAAAACTTCTTATTTCAATTAAGTAAATAAGCCATAAGATTGATTCTATTGTTTTCACTTCACATATAGCAATTAATCTTATGAAATATAATGATATATGGAATATATCATTCTTTTTATATATACTTGTAGAATCCTCCAAGCCGAAAACGTTAACAATTTTTATCTTGGACAGAGTCAACTTTCACCTTTTTTATTGTATCTCACTACTTAAAGACATTCGAAATTTTTATCGATTGGTTTTATTAAGTTTTAGATGGATGAGTTGAGATTCAATCTAGAATTACTCACGATCTGTTATATTTTGTTGTCCATTTTTAGGGTAATCTAACACTTTTGTGATTGTGTTAGTAGACATTTTTATTTTTCATAAATATATATATCGAACCGAATTATATCTTATTTTTCAAGTCATATAAAACAGCTGTTAATTTCAGGGTAATATTACTACTCTGGCAATATATCCAGAAAGTGAAAATTAAGCTTGAGTATTATACATTTTACTCGTGGTTTACCAATCAAAAATGCAAATTGCACTTAAAGTAAATCCCAGATCTAATTATCAAAACCGTCATTAGTTTTACATATATCTCTTACCAACTTTTTACTTTTTATAGTGAAGTAAGTTCTTTTAAACAGTCCCTTTACCCGGATTGAATTGCTGAAACCGTAGATATCTGCTTAATAGAGTTTTTACTATGCTATACTGTTGAGCCTTTTCCGAGTAAGTTCATCTGGGCACTTTTTATCTTTGATAACTGGAGAGTTTCCGCAGAATCCCAGCTATTTCACTGACTAATTTGTGTGTTCCTCATAAGCTTCGTGATTATTCAATGATTAATCTAAGATCTGCGTATCACCCCGGTTAGTGATTTCTCTAAGATTAGATAATGCTAAGTAGGGCAGCCTGCCGCTTGTCGCACTTGGCTTCAGGGCTATGCTATACTGTCCACACGATATGTATATTCCATTTGTTATAAATCTCACGAGTTAACGAATTTCAGGGCATATTATTTCAACGTGTATCTTTTAGTAAATTACAATATAATGTAATTTAATAACAATTTTTTTCTCTCTTAGAAAAAATAAATAAATGTCACGATATTGCATTATTGCATATATATATATATATATAATAACCTTTGCTGTTATGTCACCAACATCAACTTAAATATCGTATCAGTATTTTTAAAATTTATTTTAATTTTCATTACTGAAATTCTTTCAACACTCACATTCAGTAGATAACATTTAATACAGGCAAAAACTCTTATTTAAAGAACAGACTTGCTGGCATATAAAAAAAAATCATGGAATTTCAATGCATAAATTCAAGTCTACAATGTTTTGTGAAAAATCACACAAGCATAAATGAAACGTGCAATTTCAAAAGCATACTTCATCCCGGAAAAAAATTTCTCATAAAAACTCTAAAAATAAAAGAGACTCATAGAAAACAATAAAAAGATATACAATTTTTGCTTTACAATAATTTCCAGATGAATGACACTTTCCAACAACCTGGCAGATGGCATGATTTCATACTCACACCCGAACATCGTCCAGCATCTGAGCCGCTTACACACATCATGTCCTACACCATAAAGAATCTACATCCGGGCGCTTACTATGAGGCTATTGTGCAGGCTAAGAATCGTTATGGCTGGAATGAGGTAAGTACCGCACCGAAAAAAATTAAAAAGAAAAACAATAAATAAATAAATAAACCCACAAACTAAATAAATCAATAACACGCAAGCATAAGTCAACTGATGACACTATACCAACCACCCACTTACCCACTTACTCACCACAGACGCACAGACTCACACACATACAAACTTACATTAATTTAACTTATCTCAGAGTTACTAAATCTTCATTTATACTCGTACCGCTTTCAATACCGCCACTAACCAGTGTTTTTTTTCCCCTCTACTTCTCTGTTTTTTTTTTTTAATTTTTATTTTTATTTTTATTTTTTTTGTGCGAATTTTTCTTACGCTTACCAGGTTAGCGATATTTTTCAATTTATTGTTGCCAGCAACAATGTGGATATACCACCTGAGGATGCTGAAGTGGTTGCCAGCTCGAAATCACGCAGCAACGGTGGCCTCGGCTTGCAGCCGCTCTCCCTACAATTTATTGCGTTCAACGCGTTGCTTGCGGTTCTACTGATTATCAATCAAAGCAGACGTGGATTTTGTTTCGGATAAGTTTTTTTTTTATTTTTTGTTTTTGTGTTTTACACTTCAAGTGAAACCAAAACATTTATAAAACATAAATTGATATTATTTATTTTGAACAAAAACTGAAAATAAAAAAAAAGAAAAACAACAAAAACTTTAATTGAAACAACAAAAAAAATAAAAAATATAGAAGTTAAAAAACCATTTATTAATTTTTTTTAAATAATTGTTTTTTCTATATAACTTCTCTGATGTTCCAAAAATTTAAGTTTTTTACTTCACTGTTAAATAAATTTATTTTTGTATAGCTAAAAAGTGGAAAAATATATAAATTGAAAAATAATTAATATATAACAAAAAAAAAAAAAATATAGACAAAAATATAATGAAAACAATTTTAACTTTTTCAATATTAAATAATTTAAGCAATGCATAATATAAGTATAAATTTATGCAGCCCTAGTATAAGTCTTGTCTCATACGAAATTATAAAATTCATACTAAATAGTTTATACATAAGAAATATTAATATTAGTTAAGGTAATTGTGTAAAATTAATATTTAAAATTTATAGACTAACTAACACAAGAAACATTAGTTAAACAATATAGTACGAGTAATTAAATAATAAAAAAAAAACTATATAATAGCCACATATGTTTTACAATAGCTAAAATGTTACATTAAATAAACACTTATAGAATACAGTATATATATATATATATATATACACCTACAGATTTTGTAAATAAGTTGAACCAATAATTTTCTACTAAATAATTTCCATTTACAAATTTTTATTATTAAAATTTTCTAAATTTTTTTTTGTTGTATTATCTCAGGACGTTTACCTATAACATATATTCCAATATTTAGTGCTTATTAAAGTAAAGTGAAAGCTCTTTTCAACGTTGGCAAATAATATCGTTAGTACTCGTATTGCTAGTATTCCATGGAAAGTATTTCTTTTAGATGGATAGTTTTCTTGAGGGATAGAATATCTATTATCATCGCATGCTCTAACAATAACTTCTTTTTATAACGGTCCTCACATCAAATCATTTCATTTATTATCAAAATACTGCTTTACAAACTGATTCCATTACTCCATATTCTCTATGATTGATAATTGACGTACCATATAATTAAGGAACACAACGGTTAGCTTTGCAGACAATGTTTTCGTAGACCACTTTTACAACTGGGCATGTAATGTTCCTCGATATGAGAAGTATATATGGTTGAGTATTATCTTAGCTCTCCAGACGCTTGTTGTATGCTTTTAACAAATATGCAGCATAGGATATTGTTCTGATCAGCAAATATGCTGTACCAAACGTCAACTCGTAGTTTATTTGAAACAAACTTTCTAATATTTGTACGGGGGCTTACTTTTTCAAAGAAAAATTCTGATAATTCCACGTGCTTGAAACTATCAGGTGTCCTCTAACACTACTTTTCAGTGTTCGTGCTTCATATCTACAGGTAACATTTATATAGAAATGTTTTGTACTTGTGTTAGGTGCACTTTGGATCCAATTAGCTGCTTTTATTTGTTCTTGACTTGGCACCGTTGCATTTTCTTGAGCGCTAAGTACTATTTTGAGATATTTAAATGCATCCAGAATTGCAAAATGGATATTATCTATCTAACTTGACATCTCTTATTATTCGGATGGAATTTGGTATTATTTGTTCTGAACTTTCAACAACATTTTCTATTTTTCTTCTCCATTTCAAGCTCATAATACTCTCTTTCAATAATTTTTAATAATAACTCAATTATTATAATTAATGTTCCGGAATCATTTTTTTTTTGATCACAAAATTATATTTTTTAATAACATAAAACCAAAACTTAATTGTATATATAAATATATGATTCGATCACATATAGAAAGATACAAAAATAGTTATAGAATCGTCAAATAAACTGTGCAAAATATTGAAGCATAATTACTTATGCGAATTAAAGGTTTAAAATATAAACGAAAATACTTAGAATCTCAAAACGAAAAATTAATAAAATTTAATCAAAACTAATTAAAATATTTTAATAGCAAAATTTTGTATATAAGCTTTTTCAATACATTCAACATAGCATGTAATACTTGAATTTATTAATGTAAATAACACAAAAAAATATTATAAATATATATTTATTAACTTAGTTTAAGTTTGAAAGCACTCAGAAAAAATTAAATTAAAAAAAATTAAAAACACAAATTAAAAAAATGTACCACCAATTTTCTTTTGAATTTTTAAATGTTAATTATAAATAAAATAAGTAATTTGTGCGGTCAGTTTATAGTGTTAAGTTAATAAGTTGATATAAATATTTAATAAAACAAAAACACTTCAATATTATGTGTTACTAAATAAGCATAAAAAATAATTGTAAATAATGCGATAAATTGTAATAAATAATAAATTAGTAATAAAAACAACTAAAAATTAAATACATAAGCTTTTTGTCATTAATAATGCGTCAAATATTAAATGAGATCGAAACAAAAAATACTTCAAACCTAATGAATAACAAATAAATATTATAAAATAAAATGAAATATAACATTTGCAAATATTATAAGTTAATTAAGAATACAAAAAAAAAATTATATAAAAATGTGAATTATGTATGTTCGTAGTAACGCAAATGAATTAATAGGAAATACAACTTGTCATAAAATAAATATAAAAATCATATACAACAAACATGAAATTATTTGTCTGTAATATAAATAATATATAAATACATATTAAAAATTTAATTTATAATTATTTTAATAAAATTACTAATTGTAAAACTGAAAACTGAAGAACAATTGCATTTACTTCGCTGATTAATATTTCTTTTACGGTAAAATAGAAAAAAATTAAATTAAATTAACAAAACTGGCACATAAATTAAATTAATAAAACTGGTACATATTCAGTTTCAGACTTCAACCATAAAGCAAATTTAATTTATAGAGAAATATTGTTAAATTACTTTTAACACTTTTAAGAGAAAATTTATCAACAATTTAACTTTTTCCATATTTTTCCAAATTTTTCAAACGTTTTATTTTAAAACTCTTTTAGAGACAAATTAATTTAAACTTCAGCAAAAAAAAAAAAAATAAAATATAAATTTTTTTTAACTGGTCAGCAAAAAAAAATAGTTTATATATCAAAAATAATTACAAAAAAAAATAAATAAATAAATTGTGTGTAATTAATTTTAAGTGTATTTCTTAATTATAAGCTAAAATTTAAAAATGAGGGGATCTGACAGCATATGTTTCTTGATTCGTGCTATATAAAATGGTAAAACACGTTATTATTGTACTATTATTATTATAATTATGATTATGAATACCATTAATTACTAATATTAATATTATAATATATATAATATATATGTGTAAGAAATATTACTGATAAAACTAAATAAAAATAAAACTTATTTAGATGTAAAACAATGATGGTCTTTTAATTAAATCAATTTTACTCCTCAATTTTCCAATATTATAACACAACGATGGCTTACCTATTGAATAAGTTGTCTTAGAATAGTAAATTCTTATGCATCTTTATTCAAAATTGCTGCTTTAGTGAAATTTGGTATTCGTTTTTGACAGGTAGCCTGATTCCATTGGTGGATTGGTGTTTTGCAAAAGAATGATGGGTGGGACAATCTTAAGTGACAATGTAAGCGATGGAGCAACAAAAATATTTAATAAGTTTAAGAAATTCCATTGGGTACTGAGCAACTTCATTGATACTCATTAAGCTCTTAATTTACGTGTAAGTATATTAGTAACAGACTTTGAATTTGATATCACTTTATAGGGGATCTCCCAAAGTAAGAACTCCTACTTATATGTCACCCAACAAGTCTATTAAAATTTATTCGATGTACCAACTAAAAAAAAATACGAAAATAAAAATTTAAATTGATGGCAACTCTAAATATTAATCTTAACTTAAAATATTGTAGCATATATTCAATTTTTTATCTTGATGTTGCATATTATGAATATTATATAGATAATATTAAAAGTTAAAAAAATTTTTTGTGTGATGCTAACAAGGAGTTTGATCAGATTAGATTATTATAGATTATATTAGATTAGATTTGATTAAATTAAATTACATTAGACGACAGATACTGATATGCCAGCATTTTCAATTGGAAATATCAACTTCATCTGTTATGAGACGCTTAAAATTAGAGGTGCGTTGTATTTATTATTATTATTAATTCTTGTTATCTACTAGTATTATCCTCGTCAAACCATTTGGTCTTCTACATATAGTAATGGAGATCCAACAAGCCTGTTTTTGTTATCTTTGAGAAAATAGATTCCTATGGCCTTCAATTAATAATTAATGCATTATATGCATTATAATGATTGTCGGAATATTCCAGTGTTTAAGCAATAGTACAAAGGCATAATGCCCCGTCAATATTCCAGTAAATACCCAAACTACAAGTTTGCTGAAAACAAAAAGGATTCTAGTTTTCCATAAAGTTATACGGTCTTTAAAATTTAACGTGTTGAGGACTTAAGATTTTCAATCAAAACTATTAGACTCTAGCAAACTCACAGTTTTTTATAATTTCATCAAAAGTCATTTGACACCGTGAAAGTGACTTAGTCTTTGATTTTAGATAGTTTATACATTAGGGTTGTTATGGATAAGTCTACCTTTACGTCCAGGAACCCAGCAAAGAGAGACTTTATCAGGTTCGATGATGATCTGAGAGATATGACATTTTAAAATTGTCGACAATTGAAAAGAACTTTAAATAAAAGTAGTATTGATTGTGTTGTTTTTTGGCTCTACGAAATAGATTACTAATCCGTTAAATCGATCTGCAAGATTTTTGTACAACATATATTCTTATCTACATATTTTTATTTAGGGATTTTATGTTTGGACATTATTATAATGTTTATTTCCACAACTTTAGTTTTTAATATAAGTATATAGACAAAAACATAAAAATTTATAAACAATATCGCCAATATAGGGTTATATGGGTATACTCCTAAGCAGTAGTTATGTGAAATTAGGTGTTATCTGGAGCCATATTTGCACCACAAATATAAAACCAAATCTATTAAAGGTTACAATACTACAATCTCAATATTCACAATATCAGTTAAAGTCAAATCATATAGAATTATATATGATAGGTATATAAGTGTGTATATAGATACGTCATAACGGTATATTACGTGTCAATCACTTTATTTAAATTAATGTCGAGTTTATATATATAACACAGCTAAAAAAGCTCTGACTGTCCTATGGAAAGTAACTATAAGTATTCGGTACGAAAAATTTCGTCCACATGAAATAATCTGGCCTAGCAAGGACAAGAACCTTTAGTCCCTTTAGTCTAAAAATATTTGTGCTCTGCTCAACATTATTTCTAATATTTCTGTTTCGTTGAGGTGAAAACTGTAGTAAAAGAAAGATTTTATAATAATTTTTTAGAGAACCAAATTAACGTAACACCAATTAGAAAAACATTTTGTTTTTTGTACAATAATTTGCCATAGCATTTGACCACAATCGTGCCAACCCAGCAAAAGTATCTGTCGCTTTTGACGTTCATGTTTTATATCAGATGATTCGGTAGCTACTCATGAAGTAAAAAATCTAATTTAAATTGAATGTGACTGCAAATGACTAGTAAAAAAGAAAGATACATTATTCAATAAATTATTTTAAAAAATTGATAAAATATATGATATTTATCTAATTTTGATAGAAATAATGAAAAACTCCATATATTTTTTACACGTAGGTATGTACTTAGTCTATATGAATAAATCCAAATTTTTTTGGATTAATATTTCTCTAAATAAAACAGTTGTAAAAACAAAGCTGCAATTTTGTCCATTATTTATATGAAGTGCTGTTATTATTTCTAAATACAATTTTATTAAATAAAAAAAAATTGCGCTGAACAAGCTTTAAAATGTTCGCAGATATGTGCGATTATAATTTATTTAATTAAAATGCAAATTCGCGGAATTACGGCTGCCACAATGGAATTAAAACAAAAACAAAGCATTCCATTTTTTATTCTAAAAAATTTATAAAGCAAATATTACACAAATTATTATGCGTTTTCTATTATATTTTTTCTGGGTCCCTTAGTTACGCTAATGAGAAGGTAATATTAGCTTTGACACATTTTTTAATATAACAAATCTCATATAATTCAAACAAATGGTTTACCTCTTTGGTGGCGCTTCATTTGAGTTCATCAAAACCCTTGGCGATCGGGAAAATGATGTGCGGATTCTCTAACCATTTGATTCCAGAAACTCAAAGCTAATGCAACTAATATTCTCTTCAATAATAAAATAAAGTATCACCTGTCGATTAAAGGTATCTCCTGCATCATATTGAAACTATCATCTATTATTTCGAGGCAAAATGTTTAAAAGGACTTGGCCATATAACTCAATAGTCAGGTGATTGCACACTTAATTGACTCCATAAAAAAATAAAGAACTTAATCATATGCCAAAAAAATAATTGAAGAAACAAAGGCTAGACACATCACAAGTAGACTAAAGAATTGTAAATATATCCAATTATCCAATTAACTGAACTATACATATTAGAAAAATACTCTAATACAATGAAATCACATCTTACATCACACCATACATCTGATACATGGAGCAGTTTAATGTATATAATCTTACATCTTTATTATTGACGCTCTATGCTCCATTTAGGAGAAAAGAAATATATATCTCGCATAAATCATGCAACTTGCGATATGGGGTCATCGTATAAAATTTTAATATTTTCTGAATATGTATTCAGAAAGGAATATAGTACTACAACTAAGCCTAATTTTTAATAACACCCAACCAATCCAAAATATTGAGAAGATACTCATAGCACCACGTTAAGAGTACAAACATAAGGACAGTTGAAACAGACTTATACAAACTTCACAGATTAAATACATCCAAATAATACTTGTGATGGAATGTCATTCAAAATAAAGCGTTGATAGTATAAGTGCGAAATCGTGATAGATATGAATATTTTTTAAGGGCTTTATGGTTCAGTTAGAGTTTAAGTATATTTATGACTGGATACTGTCAATAGTATTAAATTAAAAGTACATGCCCTTGATAAGTGTAAATGAAAACAATTTGCGATTGTAGATCTCTAGATCTTTCACTTAAGACTTTAAGACTTAAAGTATATAAATAACGCAGACAAAGTAATTTCGTGAGGATTCTACACTCCATTGTGAGCTAAAGAAAATTAGAGCAAGAGAACATTATATCAGGATAGCACAGAAAGTGTTCTAGAGATGCTCTAAGATTTAAAGTACATAGATAAGATTATATTTAATGTATAACGTAGTGTGTTGAATATGAAGCCTCAACACCGGGACAGACAATGTAATTTCATAAGGATTCTCCACTACATTAAGAGCTTAAGGAAAATTAAAGCTAAAGTGCTCTAACCAGTATAGTATGGAACCAGGGTTCTAATGGCTTTGTACTCAGTTTAAAGTTAAAATGGTTAAAGTCCGTTATATCGTCAATAGTAGAAGACTAAAAATTAGTATGCTTGATTATAATACTTAGAGATGATTTGTTTAACTCCATTTTCTCATTTACTATGAGCTAAAAGGTTTCTGGGCTGATGTGTCAACATATGTAGCGTGTTTGAAAATCACACAAAACCGACTGTTTACTCTTCAAATTAAAATTAATACTTTAGGATTAACAATATTTTCTGCTAATTAATTCAAAAACATTTGCCAGGTTTTTTCTTCCGCGCTCGTGCCTAATTGAAATTATTTTAATAAACATCCAAATTATCTACGATATACATAATTTGGCAAAATTTAGCATAAAATTAGTTGCTTAATTGAAAAATGTATACCCGTGAAAAAGCAAAACATTGTTTTTTGTTGTTGTTTTTTCAGTGACGATTTGTTATCACTGCTAAATTGTTCAAGAGTTTTTGTGTTGTAAAAACATTAAAATTACAAATTTATTTTCGATACGCGAACAATTATAATTTGGCAATATTTTTCATGTGATTTTTGCTAAGCACCTTCAGGCTTTGGCTAATTGAAAATAAATTGAAATCACAAATCTGATTTTTAATTACTTTAACTAATTTCAGATTCCAATTTTTTAATATTTGACAATAATATTTATAATACATATAAGAATAAATCACATTTATTTGAATCGAAAAGTTAGAATTATTATTAGAATTAATTAATCGATTTAAAGTACCGAGTTAGACAAGACACACAAATGAATTTAAAAAAATTTTTTATTATCAAATTTGAACTATTCGTTCTCTTCTGTGGGATCAGAGTTTATCAGTTTCGTATGTGGTGTGTCTGAGAAATCAAGCACCGCTCATCAAATTTGATTTCACTTGAGACTCTACAATTAGTTAAAAACAATATTTCAAACAATAAAGTGTTGCTTATACATAAAAATAATTTATTTAATATAATATTAGTACTGTTTCGCGAACTTCATTATCATGTTGAAGATTTCCTTACTTGTACTCTGTCTGGCTGCATGTGCCTTTACAAGGGAGTTTAATTTATTCAACCGTTTCACGTCTACTACCACAACAACAACCGCTAAGCCTCGACTTCCATTATTCATCAACAACAACGTGCCTAAAGCAGATATTGGTTGCACCGTCAATTTCGAGTGCAAAAAGAAACTGAAGGTTGATCCACCACAACCCAAACCTTGCGTCAAGTATTGCGTGAAGAATATTGTTTGTCCAAATAATATTAAGATTCAGGGACAGCCGAACCAATGCGCACAACTCAATGAGGATTTGGTCAGACAGGAACTAATTGAGAGCCAACAAAGTGATAAAGTAGGTATTATGCAAGTTGCGATGATTGACTTCCCATGCCAACCGGGCTACTTGCCCGACAGCAGAGGACGCTGCCGTGAAGTCTGGTAAAATTGTGTAATGTGATTTGTGTTGGGTACTCAATTTATATATAAAATTAAATTTATTAATAAAATAAATAAAATCAAATCACAGCTATAATCTTTTCTTTTTTTGCTTAAATAATATATATGAATCTATTGAATATTTATATACGTCGCATGGCACGATTGAGCTTATCAGTATAATTTATAATATTTATTTTCCCCAATGCGATTTCGAAAGAATATTATAAAATAATTCATTAAACCAAAATGAGTTTTAATTTTTGTTTCATAAATTAAAAATCTAAACTAAACTTATTATGCACTAAATCATAAATTTAATTTAAAATAAAATTCTTCACTTAAATCAAAAATTAATGTGGTTGGCTTATAATACTAAAACTAAATCATACAAAATATTTATTTTTATTTAAAATTTTTATAAAATAAATTAAAATTAATTTTTAGAAATTTTTTTTATATTTTTCATACTTAAAACAGTTGTTGTTGTTATTTTAAAAATTAACTTCAAGTTGGAAGGGTAGAAAAGGATCTCACCTCATAGTTTTGCATATAAATTTATTGTCTAAACCCACAGACATTGCCTCAGGTTTTTGATTTGTTATACTACATATCTATATTCGCCTATCTGCTGGTATTGTTAAAAGTTATATCCAACATGTTATATTCGGTTTCGAGTTGGTTATTTCAAGAAGTTCCCGTTGGTATAAATTGCCTTCAGCGAAGAGAGATTAGTATTCGAATGTAAGTCGATTATTCCGAAAAAGTTGTAGGGAGTTTAAGTTTTATACTGCTAAGAGAGGTTAGTCTTCCGAAACGCGTAGGTTATTTCAAGAAGTATCAGTGCCATGTCACATATGTGTATAGTTAAACACTTGCTGTGACGGTGTCTATGTAAATTGAACAACCTAACGTACCAAAGTGGTTTCAGGAACCCTTTAGCGCTTAGAATGAGCTGAAATCGATTGAGTGTACTTTAGAAAGGCATACAATATAAGCAACTCAAGCGTAGAACGAAGCCGGCATTAATATTTGTTTATTATGTGTTATTATATATCAAATTCAGTTTTAAACTAAATTATGGTAACGGAAAATATTTCATTAATAGTAATATTGTTGATAATTACAACCTATTTTATATTTTGTATCAAGTGGAAGTATATATTAAGATTAGAAATGATGAATAATAAATAAAACGAGTGTTATTTTTGACGCAACTCGTTGAAAGGTATTAAGTTCCCCAGGCTCTCTGATTTGGTAAAGATATTCTATAAAAAATCATTTACTTTATATATAAATAGTATCTACAATTAGCTTATTCTTCATTAAAAGTGAAAGTTATACTTCAGCGCTTTCATGCAAATTTGCTCATCCGAAGTGGAACTTATACATTAACGATTTCAGACAAGTTTTCCTACAAGAAGTAGGCACTTTAGCACTTTCACACAAGTTTTTTAATGGAAAATAGAGGTATATTTTACCACTTCTGCTTCTGGTTTCTTTGTTAAAAACAAGCGTTACACTTTAATGTTTCCACATAAATCTCCTAAGTAGAAACGAATATTAAGCTTCAGAGTTTCCATAATGGTTTTTTCTTCAGAATTGGTAGTTATACTTTTGCGTTTAGATTTCATAGATAATAGGTTTCAACTAAACCGAAAGCTATACTTTGGCGCTTTCACATAAGCTTTCCTATAAAGAGCTGATACTTCCACGAAGGTTTTTTAATAGGAACGATAAGTATATTTTAGCACGTCTGCATAGATTTCTTTGTCAGAAACATGCGTTGTACTTTAACGCTTCCACATAAGTTCAGAAAGGAATATTAAGCTTCAGAGTTTCCATAATGGTTTTCATAATGAGAGTTATACTTCCGCGCTTCTCCACAGATTTCTTCGTCAGAAATGGGAGTTATATTTCAGAGCTTCACCACAGATTTCTTCATCAGATATGAAAGTTATACTTTCCTGCTTCTCAAGAAGTTTCTTCATCAGAAATGGGAGTTATACTTCTGCGCTTCTCCACAAGTTTCTTCATCTGATATAGGAGTTAACTTCGGCATAGATTTCATCTAAACCGAAAGTAACACTTTAGCGTTTTCGCATAGGTTTTTTAATTGGAGATGTAAATTAAGCTTCAACTTTTCCATATAGTACTGACGTATTACCACAGTACTAGTAGTACTACCGTTGTGCCTTTGCCTGCAACGGTAGTATTACTTCTGAACTTTCATACTTATAAAACAAGCAAGTACTGAAGTATTACCACAACAACATTAGATTTTTCTTTATCGGCGTATGGTAATAAATTTTTAAGGTGCACAATACATTATTTACTTACTGACTTATTTGGCCATAACAACCCGTTACCGACTTTCAGCTGACGCAGCATGTCTACCCAGGCGCCTCCGCCTACTCCAGTCTGGTACGTTAAGTCCACTACATAACTCAACTACTTTAAAGAAAATGGGGAAATTAGTAAGTATTCGGATTCACATATTTAAAATCTTTTCTCAGGCTATTTTACTAGTTATCAGTATTAAAGCAGTGTCATTAATTTAAATATTTAGAATTTTTGTGTTTGCATATTAATTAATAAAAAAAGTGCACTTTGGCAGTTTTATTAACTTTTACTTTAATTAGGTTTTGATTAAATTATAGGTATTTAATTTTCTATATAATATATAGCATTAAATTTAAATCAAATTCAAGCAAATAATTAATTCTATGCGCGTTTGTTCATATCTGATAATTAAAAACATTGATAAAAATTGAAATGATATTTTTTTTTCCTTTGAATACTAACATAATTTTATCAATGAAACATAAATAATAAAAATTAATTTAAAATTACCATAAACACGTTTATTTAAACAAATTTAATCACACCAATTATACAATAATTTCACACGTTCAATTTATTTATTTAAATTTTTGTGGCGATAACACAAACACAACAGCAGCAACAACAACAACAACAACAACAACAACAGCAGCAGCAGCAGCAACAAATGAAACATAAAATTGAAAATGGAAAATAGAAAATGGAAAATGGAAAAGTTAGTCTCATTTACATATGCAATTTGCATTAATAAATTAGAAAAGTATTTGCAAAATTAACCAAATTCGGAAACTGATTGCAAATTTGCCAAGTGTTAATCAAAACGATATCAAAATGCAAATGCACGTTTCCCAACACTGGCCAATACGAGCGCGGACCAAGGCTGTTCGAGCGCAATAAGCTAAAAATTATTATCGAAGGATAATTTATTATTTTTTGCAACAAAGGCAATTTGTGCACGAGGCACAAAAGCAGATTTGCATTAAAGCGGAAGGCAGTGAGCGGAAATCGAATTAAATATTATAAAAATCGCAAATAAATCATTGCATTTAGATTAAAAATAACACAAATGAGTGCACCAACAAAAGCAGGTAACAAGGCAATTTGTTTGTTGCAAGGATACTGGCAACAAATCGGTGCTAGCGTCAATGCAATCTTGTTTTGTTATCGGCAATAATTTCAGTTACTTTTTCGTTCTGAACATTAAGTGTATTTGCATTTGCGTTTGCATTTGTATGTGCATTTACATTACAGCCAACATTGAACTTTATTGAACATCAGAGCCCAAATGAACTGCACATTTGGTGCTAGAAAATATCCTGCTCACTGCTTACTGCTCAGTGTTCACCGCTCACAGCTGAATGCCACTTGAGCCTGCTTCATTGTGCTTCGACGACACGATTTCATTGTATTGTTGCCAGTATTGCCAGTAATGCAAGCGAAATGCACAATAATGCACATAGCACAAATGCACTTAAATAAATGCGCATAAATGCACAATTGCACAAATGCATCGTTACATGCAGTAGAGCTGTACTTTTCCAGAGCTAACCCCATTGTAAGCCATTTGTACTGCATTGTGGATCGCGGATCGCGGGTCATGGGTCGTGGGTCGTGAATTGTGGGCCACCTAAGTACTTTGAAATGCCAACGTATTAGTAAATTCATATTTGGATACATTTCTCTGCATAATTTTGGACTGCATTTTGGATGCGCGTTGCATCAGAAATATTTTCATTTTATCCAAATTAAAAACAATTTTTAAACTTTTGTTTTTGTTATTTATTGCATTCAATGTTCGGATAGAATAAATATTTAAATATATAATTTATTGCTAAATACAATTAATCTGCCTATGCAAAATTGATGCTCCTGCGTTTGTGTGTTTCAGTATTTGCGTGTGAAAATTTGATTTATATGCATTTGCATTAGCTTTAAAGCGCATTATTTTATGGAATTTATTCTCTAGTTTGTTTATCAATTTTCTGTTTTATTAGTTAAGTTTAATTGCTTTTTGAGCTTTTAATTGTTTAAACAAATTTTGTGCTATTCACAAATTGGATGTAAACAATTTGTAAATAATACAGTATCTGTTCATTTCGGTTCACTTCACTGAAGTATGAAAGTTGATATGATAAAATACAGAAAATTTTGAAAATATAGAATATTTTTAAAATTTTTAAAAGTCCAATTAAATCATTCATAGATATATTTTTTTATACTGGACTATTTACTACAGTAGCTAATTTTTATTAAGTGTTTTTTGAAAGTACTAAAGCATAAAAGTATATGTAATTTAAAGCCAATTTTAGGTCAAAATAAATGAACAATTTTCAAAATCATAATATCAAAATATTTACACCAAAATTTTTAAAAATGAATTTAATATTTTAACACATTACAAAATTATAACAATTGAACAAATATTAATACGATTCAGTACAAAAGTAACAGTTTAAGTTATTGAAACCAACAAAAACCGAGCCTACGAGCTTAACTAGGTCTGTTTAGTAAAATTTATTCATAATAATTATAAGAGTTTTTTTCAAGTTTTAGCTGTACAAATAAAAAAATCCTTGAAAACAATTGGTTATTATGCTTGAAATCAGGCACAAAGTCGAGTAGAAGGACTCATAAACCACCATGCAAACTGACAAGTGTTGAATGGTCGTTTTCTGCCACAAAAAAAAAAAATAAAATTATTTCCATGGAATATGAGGGCTCATGACAAACTGAATGTACTTACTAAA